TATGGAAATGTTATTTCCACCTTCATTTTTTACAGTCATGGTTCATTTGATTGTACACTTAATTGAAGAAGCCAAGGTTGGAGGACCTGTCCAATATCGATGGATGTACCCTATTAAGAGGTACCTAGGAAAATTAAAGTCTTATGTTCGTAATAAAGCACAACCGGAAGGGTCTATAGCTGAAGGATATATAGCTGAAGAGGTTTTGACATTTTGCTCTAGGTATTTGGAAGGAATTGAGACTGTCTTTAATCGAATGGGTCGTGTTGATGATCAGCCAAATGTAGAATTATCTAGTGCAAACTCTTTATTTCCACTGATCAGAAATCCAATTGGTGCCTTTAGCTACTTCACTTTATCTTCAAAGGAAAAATTACAAGCACATCGTCATGTATTGACCAATTGTACAGAAGTTGAGCCATTTCTTCAGTAAGTAATCTTATTTGATAATTTATTATAAAACCATACTTTCTTAAAGTACGAATATGCAATTATCTGTGTGTTTTATGTAGGGAATTTAGAAATGTATTGCGTCGACAATTAAGAAGTCGCACACGATCGTCCTCTGAGATAGATAGGAGGGTTTATAGAGAATTTGTTCAATGGTTTTCTTATCGAGTAAGTTTAATTATATTCTTGTCATTTAATCTCATTGAACAGTAATATTTTCTCACTTTATTTTTTTTTATTATAGATAAAAGATGCACCAAACGAATCCTATTCTGAAGATTTTAAGTTCTTAGCTATGGGTCCAATTGATTGCGCAAAGCGTTATAGTGCATACAATGTTAACGGATTAAAGTTTCGTATATTGGAACGAGACCAAGGGCTTAAAACACAAAACAGTGGAGTGTTTGGAACATTTGGAACAAGAAGCTATGCAAATAGTAGTGATAATCAGATGCAATTTGGTGGTGTTCCTTATTATGGAAAATTGACAGAAATTATTGAGATTAACTATCATGGTTGATTCTCAATTACTTTATTCAAATGTATGTGGGCTAATACAACTAATCAGCGAGGAATTATAACTGATGACTTAGGATTTACTTCAGTAAATTTTGCAAGTTTGATACACACTGGTGACCATGAAGATGATGAGCCATACATTCAGGCTTCAGAGGCTCAAATGGTTTATTATGTAGAAGATGAGTTAGATAAAAATTGGAGCATACCTGTACATCTAAAGCCACGAGACTTGTATGACATGGGTGATGACGATGACACTTTTCATGAATGTGAGCCATATCAACAACAAAACTTGGAAACTTTATTTCTAGATGGGGAAGGGAATATACCATTAGCAAGGTGTTATTTATAATTATTAGTTTAGCTATTATTTATGTTTTATTATTGTCCTTAATATTTTTCATATTATTGAAACTCAATTTAGTCATTATATTCATGTTTTATTATTGTCCTTAATATTTTTCATGTTTAATTTTATATATTTCACTAGTTTTATTTATATTATTCTGTGCCTTCCAGGATCCCCGATGATGAAGCGATTCTCTAGCAAGAAGTCTAATGTAGCATCACAAGGTGGATCTTTTAACACTCAATCGGTACCTTCAAATGTACCTCATGTTGGTAAGATATATTTTTTACAATATATATTAATTATCTGATAAACATTGTTAATGTCAATAATTAACACATTTTATAACAAAATGTAACTCTAATGTGGATTTTTAGATGTAGGTAATGGGTATAATATTTTAGAATTAATATTATCCTTAATTAGGTACAAATGATTAGTAATTTGTGTCTTGTAGCATGTACTATATTTCATAATTAAAATTCTGAAAACTCAAGCAAGCAAATTTGTTCCAGTAGGTGATAAAAACAATCGTCTTTGACTAAGGCTTCTGGCTGAAAGTAGTAATTTTTTTAAAAGAATATTTTATATTGGAGTGTTATGTTATGAACTAAAAAAAAAATTGACAGTGAAATAATTTTATTGATTAAATAAATTTATCGCGGTTAACTAGATTCGTCAAAAAATTAAATAACTTTTTGATAATAAGAACTCCACAAAGAAAAAAAACAATAAGACTACACTTAATTAGAAAATAGGATAAAAATGAGTGAACTTATTTAATAAGAAAAATCTTAGAGCTGATGATAATTGCTTATAAAATTGGTTTTTTCTTCTGATAAAAACTTATCAATTTGAATGACTTAAAATTGGTTTTTTGATAATCCTTAGGATACTCATCACAAAACGTGTTCGTGGTGTAATTAGCTGTTATTAAAGTGAGATCAAGCAATCTATGATTGCTTTCGAAATCTGGTTACACAATGAGAAAAGCAACAAGACTAAATGATTAACTTAGTTGACTGGATGAATCTATTGAGAGTTGAATGAAGTGAGATTTTTTTAAGAAACATATAAAAATTAGAAATATGTGACCACTTAGACTAAAGCCTGCCTCTACTTTAGTTGTTTTGGGCTAAAATCAATTATAGTTTGTACTATTAACATCATGCAAATGAATGCTGAATTATAAGCTAGTAGATAATGAACAGCTCACAAGCTTGTTTTTATTCGGTATTGAAAGTTATGTAATTTATTCAAGTATGATTTGATTTTTTGTTGAAAATTATTTTTTTAACATCTTGAGGTAAGACCTTCGTCATTTGTTAATTATGAAACAACCCTGAAGGAAATGGATCAACCTATAGGTTGAAGATCACAGTGTTCCTGAAATAGGAAAAGGGGATCAGAATATGATCCATTTAGAATGGCATAGGTAGTAAACTTGTTTGCAGCTTCTGTTGCATGAATTCCATCCCAACTCACGTAGTTATAGGGATCATCACAGGCTATTGTTGTCACTGTGCTGCCATTTATCTCTCTGGTATTGCTACAGTAAACTTTAGGATCAAAGTTGTAGTCACCCCCTCCATATCCACAACAAGCTTTTGGACCATACTGAAGCCCTGTTTCAAATTAGACGTGTTACCTTATTATTTATTTTTTCATGTAGCATGCATGATGATCAAATTAGATGGTGTAAATGAAAGTTTCTTATGTTGGTGAAATATAGTTCTTTTTCTAACCTTAACTATACTGTGCTTGCTAAATACATGTCAGGATTAGGATTAATTATGTCTTCGTTTCCTGCACTTCAAAGCATGTAATACAAATAACTATATAATTACATTTTTTTAAAACATGTTTTTATCATTGAAAAATTATGTTATAACTCCACCAATAAATAACTTTAAATAGTAAAATAAAATTAAAAATAAAATAATAAATAGAAATATTAATTAATTTTTAACAGCGTAAAATGACTTTAAATAACAGGTAAAAATTATAGTGTTTCAATAAGAAATTTAGAGTAGAAGGGGCAAGAGCTTTTCTTCAAACTTTATACATATCTTGAAAGGGACACATAGCTTCCTTGAACATAGTCAAGTTTAAAAATTAAAACTATTCTAAATTCAAGATTTTTTTTTGGTAGAGTTATGTGTTATGTTCGAAAAGAGTACTGTCAGGTGATTATGTTATGTTAAGAAAGAAAATATAATTTTTTTTGTCTATACATTTTCCATATACATTTAGCCCCACTAAAATTTTTGTCTCATCCACCATGTCAACTTGTGACACTGCTATTTCTTTCAATGCGTAATTAGAGATATATCTTTAGATTTTTCCTTTTCTCAATTGCAATTTTTTCTTTACTTGGTCCATCTATTAATGTGTTTTCAAGCTTAAACCTTTCATATTCATTTTCAAAGTAGCTTTGCCATAGCTATTAGTAACATTTACTGTGGAGGAATCATCAGTTTTATGAGGCAAGGATTTATCCTATTTAGTCCTATATTTATCATATACTAATTGCTAGAACTGATTAATTGACTGTGTTCTTCCATTTGTGCTTTTGTGCTGATGGCATTCCTACTTTCTCGTTCAGTACCTCAAGCTTATTTCTTTAATATCATCCTCTACATGTTTCTGTTACTATTATGGTTGTTGTCCATGTCTTCTTTATCTGTTACACATGGCTCTGTTACTCTTTTAATCATCCTTGCTTGGATTCTTCGTTTCTAAGTCAAGGTTAGAATAGAAATTAAAACTATTGATTAGGCTGTTATATTATGCTTGTTGTCCATGTTCTCCTTACCTCTGTCACATGGATATGTCACTCTTTTATCATCACTGCCAAGAATTTTGGTTTCCAAGTCAAGGTTAGAAATTAAAACTTTATTTATTATACCAACATGATACAGTTTTCGTTTGAAAAAACTTATAGCACTTCATTGTACAGGGATCAACATCTTTGTTTTCCCTTTGCATCTTGTGCTCTCATTTTTCTGTAGTCTCTTAGATCACTTTCAATAGATGCATCTAAACACAATTGCGTTTAACCGTTCTTTGTGTGTCATTCTATATTTATCATTTGTATAAACACTTTTCCACTTCCGCATATGTCCAATTATATCATTGGATGGGATAATCTTGAAAGTTTATTGTGGAGGGACCTCTGTTTGATTGGCATGCTACTCTAATATTATTTCCTTAACATCTCTAGTAGACCAGAGTCATCATATATAGGTTTGCCCATGATAGCAACATTTCTCATTTCACTACTGATTGATTAAAGTCTTATGTTACAATTCGGAATGTACATGCCTAAATCAGCGCCAAAAGCTAGCTAGAGGGAAGAGAATTGTCAAATGGTTAGGGTACTTTGTCTACATACTCAACCAAAGGTGAATCTTAAACCCTCTACCTATTCACCTAAAAGTAGACACATAGAACATGACATTGATAGGATTGGATGTCTATGGCTGACCCAACAACAGGACTAGAATAGGATTTGATGTCCTGACAGAATCCGAAACTGATTAAACTTAAATCAAACCCAAAAGCTATGTGCATTTTAAGGGATACTTCATCTATATATTCAACTACTGAGATCTTAATAGTTATGTGCATTGATTGAATAATGTTTTACCAATGTATTTATTGCTTTTTAGGAATTACAAACATGAAGGTATTTTCTACCACGAAGACTAATTCAGCACCTCAATCAAGTAGAATGCCTCCATCTGCACCCAAGACAAGTACAATATCTCCATTTACAACTCAGTCTGACACACAGCCTTCACCTACATCTCATGACAGTATAATTCCTTTATGCTCTTATAAAGACAATTCAATCAATTTATATAATGAATATTTCTCATAACAAGTTACTAATGGTGACACTACTTGTTGCTTTATAGGAATTCACTCGAAGCCGGTTTTTAACAAAAGGAGTAATTCAGCACAACAGTTTCATACTCAACCTCCAACTGCACCTCAGTTGAATATTGAGCCTCCATCTGCACCACAGTTACATATTCAGCCTCCTTCAGTACCCACACCACAGTTGCACGCTCAGTCTTCATTTACACATGTACCTCAATCTAGTGCTCAACCTTCAATAGAGTTACAGTATGACAGTGAAGAGGAAGGAGAAATAGAGTCCCAAGTGCAACCTTCACAATCAACATTGCGTAAAAGAGCTTGGCTTGTTGACACAGTTGGTAAAATTGCTACTTATTATAATGCACTTATTGTTAATATTTTTAAATCTATGTGCTAACTTTTGATTCACAGATGAAAACGGCACAAGAAAGACAAAACAACTCACAGTCAATGATGTTTGGTGTCTTCCTCCCAATGAAAAAATCATATTGAATTGGAATGATGAAGGACAACCAATTGGAGATAGTGCAGGATTGTTGAATAGGTTCTTAGGTCCTGTTGCAAGGGACTTTCAACTATTCCCAATCAATTATACTAGCTAGAAAAAAGTTCCCAAAGATTACAAAGAATATGTATTCAATCACACCATTCAGGTTAGAATTACTGGTAATTCACACATGCTAAACCAAACCTTATGTTTTAATAATTTGAGCCTCAATTATAAAATATTATGAACATCAATTACTTTTTATTTTATTTTGCAGCCTAAGTTTGAAGTTGACTCTGACCTTTATAAGAGTTATATCTTCAAATCACTTAACTCAAAGTGGAGAGAGTATAAACAAGAATTGTGGCAACAAAGGGATGATAGTACACGTAACAGAGATCAGTTGATTGAGATAGTCCCAGAAGGAGTAAATAGAGACCATTGGGCTTCTTTTGTTGATTACCGTCTAAGTTCAAAAACAAAGGTAAAATAACATATTTATTACCTTATGATTTTTGTGATTGAGAATAATATTTTCATTGTTGATTATTAGGAAAATGCCCAGAAAAATAGAGATAATAGAAAGAAACAAATAATTCCTCACACTAGTGGATCTAAAAGCATTGCACGAAAGAGGGCAGAGCTGGTAAGCATAAATTATAAATAATAAAAATATAATTTTGCTGTTAACGTAAAATTCACATTCTTTTTTAACTTTGTAGGAACTAGAGTCTGGTCGAAAAGTTAGCAGGGGAGAAGTATGGACTGTTACACATAAACATGCAAATGGACATTTTGTTAGCCAGGAAGCCAAAGAAATTAGTGTATGTTATGTTTTATTGAACTACTTGCTACATGATATACACTTTTATATTTGGTATTGAGATATGTTGCTTTTATCTTTAAACACAAAACACAAGTATATTAACATTAACATTTGGTTATTTGTGTAATTTGAGCTTGACTATTTTAATGGTGCTATTGTAGGAAAAAATTCAAGAATATGAATCAAGCAGATCTTTATCCCAAGAAATATCTACTCAAGATTCATTAGCTCATGTTTTAGGAAGTAAAGAGCATTGTGGCCGTGTCCGAGGTTTGGGATTGGGTCCTTGTCCGTCTCAAGTCTTTGGATATCCTGCTCGTTCATATAGTGGAATGTCCTCATCTCTTTCTTCTTATAGGGAATTGCAGAATCAAGTAACTGTTTTAAAGTCTCAAATGGATGAACAAAATAAAAAATTTGATGTAATGATGAATTTTTTCATTCAGAACTTTCAAGGTCAACTACCTCCAGACTTAGCTATGTTTCAAAGTTCACCGGTAATCCTTTTAAATTTAATTGTTTTAATAATGTATTAAATAAATTACATACAATTCAAATTTTGAACTTGTTCTTAATTACTATATTTCAGGTGTCTAATCAAGGAAGTGCACAACCAACTAATGTAACTGATCATTCTCCTTCAAATTCTCCAGCTGAAGAGTAGTTTTCTTAGGGATTTATAGCAGTAGTTCATCTATGAATGAAAGACATGACATGTTTTATTTTAATTAGAATATTATTATAAGTTTGTATTATAAGATCTTTATGTATCACTTTTGATTTTATACAAGTGTTTGTGGTTTTTAAAATTTGTTATGTTTATCAATTAAACAAAATTATTTGAATTTTATGTAATATTATATGATATACAGGTGAATTAAAAATAAGCTATATTTTAATTATTCAAATTATATATATTCACATGCATTTAACGGGGGTTTCAAAACTGCTGGCAATTCTGGCAAATTAACGGGGGTTTTAAACCGCGGGTAATCCATGCGAAATTTAATGGTATAAAATGCAGGTATTTTACGACGGTTACCAAACCCAGGCTAACTAACAACGGTTTATGAACCGCGAGAATTTAACGACGGTTACTAAACCGTAAGTAATTAACGATGGTTAATGAACCGCGGGCGATTAACGATAGTTAATGAACCGCGGGCAATTAACGATGGTTAATGAACCGCAGGCAATTAACAATGGTTAATGAACCGCAGGCAATTAACGATGGTTACTGAACCGCCGGCAATTTACGAAGGTTATCTGAAACCGTTGTTAATTAACAGAGGTTGGTTTAACCGCGACAAATACCAAATTTACCTGCGGTTGTTTAAAACCGCCGGTAATCTGTTTGCCACGCTTAAATTAACTACGGTTTTATCAACCGCGGGTAATGTCATTTACGACAGTTTAAACCCTCGTTAATGTTATAATTAACCATTGGTAAACCATAATTTTCTTGTAGCGTAAGATCATGTCAAGTTGTCCTCACAATACAATTTGCTGGACAGGATTGCTTATTTCTGCAGAGTGTTTATGCATATAATTAATCACATGTAAGTGAATGGAACAGTGAAAATATTTCCTGATTGTGTTCCAATTTTGGTACAATGACAACAACGATGTTTGATATTTGAATATCTACAAACGATACAACTTTCAATAGTCACTTCTAATAGCTCTCTTGCTTCAAATCTTTCTTGTCATTGCTTTAATCTTTTGCTTTTCACAACAAAGTATGACTTTGCCGTTGAAACTGATTATCGCATAATTTACAGATTAAACGAGTCACTTTTTTTTTTCTCATAATTCGAATTCCACGTCTAGTTTAACACAAAAGAATTTATGTACCGGCGATATCAAGATTGATAGAATATCCACGAAATTAGTACCGCGCTCTCAATATGTCATTTTCTTTTACACTCCATCGAATACCCTCCAATTCTGTCGATCTAAGCATAAATCCACGACAAGACTAATTTTATTAAAGGTCCGTTAATGACGTTTGATAATCAATATAAAAAATACAGTTTCTTAAGTATTTACTATACTTTTATTATTTATTGCATAAAAAATGAAAGTTAAAGAAAATAATGAAAAAGTTGAATTTTGACAAATTACTTGACAAACAATTTTTATATATCTACACTCATTTTTTCTTACATTACTCTCTATTCTCTTTTTTTTTTTTACCTCTTCTCCTGCCCATTTAACACCTTAAATATTGAGTGTGAACATATATTTTTCATTATGAAATGATACAAGATATATATACACACTTTTATTAGTCAACATGAATGTTGGAACCACATGTTTTTCACATGCGACTAATTAACTTTAGAGCCGCACAAGGACAAGAAAGGAGACAAATCATATCTGAAAGGATTTTCTGCAGCAGGCCGTCAATTTTAGTATTATTTTTATACTTTTAAAAAAGTTATTACGTGATAAAGAAATCTAGTATTGCATTAATTTTTGCGAATCAACAAGCATTGTACCATAAAGGCATGTGCAAAACTATTTCATGAGCAAGATACATTGCATGTTGTGAATTAAAGAGCTGCATTTGACTAACCCGCTTCATGTCTAAACTCTCATCATTTGCATAAGATGAACACAACCTACTAGCTTATTATAAGAAGTTCAAAGTGATCAGGGAAGAGTTTTATGCCTACAGGCCCTTTGACGAGTTCATAAGAATCATCTATTAATCATAATATATGTGAATGTAAACCAATTATAAGTACCCCTTTAACGTCTCCTTGGCTTCATTGTAAAGTTAGGCGAAGTTATCAACAAAGATGTAGGAAGAAATTCTGTTGATGCCAGCGCCAACATGTCTTTCTGCATTAACTGAATAAATGCTTGATAAGCAGATTCTTTTATTATGGTGGTTAGAGAATTCATGGACCTAAACATCATAAAGTATGTTTGAAGCCTTGAAAATTGAATGATATTTCATCCATTTTTTTTTTTGCAGTTTTTAATATTCTGTATACCTATTGATCATGAATATAGACTAGCTGTGCAAATGCCTTTTAAAAGAGTTTTGTTTATCTTATCCAACGTTAAGAACTTATATATGTAGTAAATTTTTATTAAAAATTACAAAATTTAGTGTAATTCAATGTCTTAATATTATTAAATATTACATTTTCTAATATAAATATATTATTTTGTATAGTATTTCACATATTATACAAACTGTACGTTAAAAAATGTCACTCGGAGAACAAAGAACATGAATTTCATAGAAAAGTCATTTCTGGCACACAAAACCATGGTTTAGAAACATTTGTGGTGTGCATAAATTGTAATCTAATCCGCTAGATTGAAGTCTAATTCTAAGATTGTAATCTTTATGATCATATCATTGTCTGCTAGGTATAACTTTAAGATGCATTATTGTATTGAATATTAGTTCCATATATCGGATACCCAAATTCAATAGCAAAGTTGCATTGTATATTTCCCATAAGCTGTGAATTTAAAACCCGATCTCACGTTGACTGGTTGTGTGTACTCTGTCATATCAATGGGGAATGAGACAATTTACCTGTTAAACTATATTTGTGGCTGACAATGAAACACACTTCGCAAATGATATTTCCTTAGTGTGAATAATTGTCCCAAAGGTATATCGAACCAAAGCTGTAGTGCCAAACCAAATCACATTATGATATTATTCCTTCATTTTTCCACATGGATAGATTTGAATGCTACCTAGCAGAAAACAGTTGCCAATAAATCGGAAAAGGGAAGCCATCTTGGCTTCAAGATATTAACTAAATTTCAGTTGATTAGGCATATTAATTATTTGGCCCAATAAAAAATTAGCATTCCTCCAATTATTCTTAGACCAAATACATGTACAGTTTCAAAATTTAGGAGAACATGTTTGAGCATGTCTCGGCCATGACCTGGAATCAGACACAGGTTTTGATGCAACATATTATATATCAATATACTTTTCAAACATAGGTTAAAAAGAAATTATTTTGTTATCATCCTTTTATGTTGGAATTCAATTTGTTGATATTTAAATAAATAAAAGAAGGATTATATTGATCAGTGCCACCAAAGAAACAAGAAAAACAAATTTATCTTTTAAAGGAAAACTCCGACAAGAGGAGAATATGAAGAATAATTTATTATAATCTCCAAGATATTATTGTTATTTGCCTCCTCTGCTAAGCTTATTTGTTTACTGAAAGAAAGTACATCCCTCTGAATTTGACTAAGGCTGTATATTAAACTTCACTAGCTTAGTTGCCATCATTGCGACAGTCACAGAGAAAGTTTTTCAAGTGAGTCTCAAGCGCCTTCGAAATAATAATAATAATAATAATAATATTGTATTAGAACTTAGCAGAATTAGGCCTAATTTAAATAATTTTTAGATAAGTATTTATAAAAAAAATAAAGAGGAAAAATAAATGAATATTTTTTAAATTAAATTTATTTTATACATCTCATTTTTAAAAAAAAATTAATAGGAGAGATTTTAAATTATATATGTTTATTTTAAACAAAAAAAAGTTGATTCAATTTACCTCTTTATGTTTTTTTATACAAATATTCATTTTTAACTTATTTATGCATGCAATAAAATTCGCAGATCTTATCAAGAACTTAGAAAGCACGTTTACACATATTAAAGCCAAATATTGTTGCCATAGTGAGCTAGCTATTTTGTACAAGAAAAAATCTACTCATGCAATGTTTTCTATAACTAAAAGAAAGATAAGAGAAAAAAAAGTGTGAGATAAGTGATGTGATGAAGAGAAATAAAAAAGTTATAAAAAGGTGATATAAAAACATGAGTGTGAAGAATATAACTCTATGTGCAAAATTACGGTTGCAGATATACGTGATTATATAGACCAAATTAAATTGTTTTGGAAGTATATCAGCGAAGCTTAAATTGCAACTAAACACTGCGTAAGAAGAGTATGTTTAATTTTACCTCCTAATAACTATTTGAAGGGTAAAAGGAAAGATAATCAACCATGAAGTGTCCCTCAATTAGTAACCTAAATTTTGTATGAATAAACTTATATCCAGATTGGACTTTGAATTTAACTACGCGTTGTCATGGTCAAGAGGGAAAATCATATGGTGAACCACAACATAAATAGACTCCTAAAGTGCATTATAAAACACTAATTTAAAATTTAATAAGAGTCTTATTTTTTTTTATATAAAACCTAATTTTTAACATAAAAAAATCTATTTTATAATAATTCAAACAGTATATATTTTGTAAAAAAGACTTCTAAATATTATCCATCAATTAATATTTTAAATTTTTTATTAAAAATTATTAACTATATATTAGAAGCAATATTAAAAATTATACACAAGACAGTGAATTCTCAACTCTTAATTAGGCTCGCAATTCGCAAATCACATAAATATAGTGCATCTCTCATCACCATTTTTATTTTTTGGGGTCAAGAGTCCACATCGTCTATACCAATGCCTATAGACATAGACTGCAGACGGGCTTTGAAATTTTGGGCCTGACGGCACCTGGCCTTTATGAGTTTATTATGTTAACACCTTACGGTTCATATATATATATATAAGACCAAAAAGATTTGACAAAAAAAAAGACCAAAAAGTAAAAAGTAGCTTCGACATTATCTTAGTTCACCAAGGCTTCTTTGTTATTGCAATGCAACTGTTTGATGAAGTTGTTCCTTTATATCTCTTTTTGACGTTTGATTAAATTAAGGCAGCACCAACTAGTAACAAAACCTTATCAAAGTTGGGCTAACTTTCAGTCAAAAAAGAAAGAACAACTTGGTACATGCAATAAGCCATTTACTAAAATATACTGTTTACTATCTACTTTCACCCTCACTTGCAGATGTCTTTCTTACCGAGTCGTCATAGTTTTGGTTCATATTTCGTATCTCCTTTGACATATTTCGTATCACAAATGGAAAGAAAAGGAAAGGAACAACACTGAAGACTACTGGGCAAGTTCCCTTTACTCTTAACACAACCCGTGTTCTCTCATGGTTGTTTTATATTGGTATTTGTGGCCTTGTGCGGAACATTAAGCTGTGCAATAGCAGCTTAACACTCATGCATATGCTTTGGATCAGAAAAACAAAACACTCATGCATAAGTTTGTTGAAGAGCTTAAAGTTAGTCGTTGAGGAAATAGCAAGAAAAATGTTTACCAAGGTCTGCAAGTGAAATCGGACTAGGAGTGTTAGATAGATTAGATAAATTTTAAATTAAATTATAAGAGATGGATAGAAAATAAATGTTAATTCATTTGTAATCTATTCAAATTGTATTAAAAATAAATTCATCCATAGCTTATTTAATTAAAAAAAATCCAAATTTCATCTATTAATTTTTTTTATAAATAAATATTCAAACCATACATTTAAAGTGTATATTTTAAAGAAAATATTTTTATAAAATAAAGTTTAATATACATAGTTTCTAAAGACATACACAACTAATAGCCTTTGAACTACTTAATTCAATGGATTACAAAATATATTAGATAATGCATTATCTATCCAATAAATAAATGTTAATCTAATGCAACCCATTTATTAGTCTGGACCTTCTAATAAGAATACAAAAGCAGTCAGAAGTCTAACTCTTAAAATTCAATATAATAAATTCAAAATCCGTGAAAGCAAACTACATCCATACAAATGAATTCAAAATAAACTAAGTCTATAGCAAACATTTGCTGCCTTCAGCATTGATTACAAATACCTTCCTAGTTATAGGGCTTTACCTAACTCTTACACACTAAACAATGATGCAGATGAACAAATTGAGAAAGAGTTGGATAGGGATGACAGTTCTAAATATTCTTTAACAAAATTGCAAAGGATAACAGAAATTAAATAACAATTCAAAGTTTTGGAGGTTTAGACTTCAGAAGTGAAAGAAAAGGAAAGAAAGAGAAATCACGATGAAAGTTCTAGATTAACTTAACAAGCACAACAGCTTTACCAAAAAATTATGTCCTAATTGTATGTGTTTTTGTAGTAATCACCGGCAAAGCTGCTCAACTGCTGTCACAATCTGAGCAGGTTGAACTACTGTCCATTCCTCCAATGTTCCAGCATAAGGGGTTGGCACATCTTGAGAGGATAAACATACAATAGGAGCATCCAAATAGTCATTGAAATTTTCAGTGATAGCAGCTGTCAGACTAGCACCAATTCCACCTGTCCGCATGCACTCTTCCACAATCAACACCCGATGCGTCTTCTTCACCGAATTCCCAATAGTGTAAAGATCAAATGGTTTCAAAGACCTGATATCAATTACTTCAGGGTCATACCCCTTGTTCACCAGTGTCTTGGCAGCTTGCATAACATGATACCTCATCCTGGAATAGGTCAATATTGTGACATGCTCCCCAGGCCTAACCATCTCAGCTTCTTCAAGTGACAATACATACTCTTCATCTGGAATTCTCTCCTTGAGGTTATAAAGTAAAACATGCTCAAATAAAATCACAGGATTCTCACTTCGGATTGCAGCTTTCATCAAGCCCTTGGCATTGTAAGGAGTTGAGCAAGCTACCATCTGGATTCCAGGGATTGACTGAAAATATGACTCCAGTCTCTGTGAGTGCTCTGCTCCAAGTTGCCGCCCAACTCCACCAGGTCCACGAATGACAATTGGTATCTTAAACTGGCCTCCAGAGGTGTAATGGAGCATACCACAATTGTTAGAGATCTGGTTAAATGCCAGAAGTAGAAACCCCATGTTCATGCCTTCAACAACTGGCCTCAGACCAGTCATGGCAGCTCCAATGCCCATGCCTGTGAATGAGTTTTCAGCAATAGGGGTGTCCAAAACTCTAAGGTCACCAAACTTTTCGGCCAGTCCTTTAGTCACCTTGTAAGATCCTCCGTAATGACCTACATCTTCACCCATGACACATACACAAGGATCCCTCTCCATTTCTTCTTCCAAGCCTTCACGTAGGGCTTCAAAAAGGAGAAGTTCATGCCTAAAAATAAAATGTACATCTGGTGAATTCTATTATAATTGATCATAACTCTATAATAAGTGCAGCCAATAAGAGATTTAAAAAAAAAAAAAAACCCACATCATTCTCTAGCAACTTCATGTGTTAAACATTCTGAATTAAGTGTTATAAGAATGTCCCAAAGGTTTTCAATTCTCAACCCAAAACAATTACTTCTTGGGGCTTCTAGTAGTCTTCTAAGTGCTTCAAAATCTAATACTAAATATCATTACCTAACTCATGGTGCTTGACATAATCTGTGATGTATCAAAAAGTTGACAACTTTATGAAGCTTGTACATACTCAGAGACTACGGGGAGAACAAAACATCCTAGAAGTCTGGACACCAATGGGCAGTCAAAAGGTTGCCTTTTAGACTTTTAAGTCTCCTACTACTGATACTCCCTAGCACAGGGGAGGAGTCAAGAGGTCCAAAAGCGTCATCTTGATAGCATCAGCAATGACCTTCAGTACATAGCTCTAAGGCCATTGTGGCACAAAAGGAGCTAAGTTAACAACCCCTAAGCCTTAAATCCCTCATTTCTGAAAGGCCATAAAACAGTGAAAATCCCATCCAGTAAAGTAATTTACTTTGATAGTAACAAGGGTACTCTGATCATTGGCCGATAAAAAGCAAAATTTTAACTCCTGACCTAAGAATTTTTATGCAAAATATGTTGCTACTTCCACTCGCCATACAACCATAACCCGAGTCTTGATAGACAATATCATGTTAAATTATTTTTACACGTTATTTTAGGAAACTGAAACATAGATATTAATTTATAGCTTTTCACTTAAACAAAGAAGTTGATCTATTAGTAAAAGAGTAAACACATCATGTCACATTAAAGAAATTAAAAAATGATTAAATTTTATATAAGATGGAAAAACAACAGCAAGTGATAGCAGAAATAAACATACCCAGGTTTTGATGTAGAAGCCACGGAACTGCCTCCCTTTGTCTACAAAAAAAGTAACAAACACAGTTTACAAACTTGATAACACCCTATCCCATTGATCCCAAACCAAACTGCAAAAAAAGGAAATTGAATGAGATTGATGAGATAACATACTGCAACTGCATTAGTAACCAACAATTCATGCTTTCGAACTCCTGTCTTCAGGACTTGGCTTACCCTTGCATCAGATCTGACAACAAAAATCCCAGCCTTCCTCTCTGAATCAATCAAATATTGCACACAAATTGAAAGAAACAACATTTAAAGTCAATAATACTAGCCCTTCAAAAGGAAACTACCTAATCAAAAGAAAAGGAACAAAAAATTTGAAATCAAAACCCCAAACCAGGTTTCCCAGAATACACAAGAACCCAGTTAACTAACTCGAGAAAGCAAAAATCAAAGAGCAGTCAACGATTCAAAAACTAGTATAAAAAAATAAAGTCACCCCACCAGCAACACGTTACAGAATGGATTGAATCAAAATGAAAGAACAAAAATTTAGGTGAATTGAAGACAATATCTTAATAAAACCAAAGTATTTGTAAAAAAGGGAAAAGGAAAAAAACTGAAGAAGCAAACCTGAGAGGGATCTACGAGAAGGAAGGAGGAAGGTGTTGGAGTCAAATGAATTGGAGGGAGAGAATGCCGTGACAGCTCCCAATCCCTGGAAAAGGGTCGCCATTGGATCACCCGAGAAGGATGGAAATGTAGAGAACCAAAGAATTTATCTGTAGGCGGAGAAATTAAGGAAAAATAACAATAAGCTACGTTTGTAGTTTGTGTTGTGTTGTGTGTCTGTACATCTATGTTCGCAGTCACAAAGCTTCTTTGTTTCTTTATTTTGTTAGTTAATAGTTATTGATGTTTTGTTTGCTCACCCTCACTTGTCAGTTAGCCTTAACAAAAATGCAGAATTGCATAGTTTCCATCGCCAGCACCGATCTTTCTTGTGGCTGTCATGCCTTGTTTGTTTGGTGTTGGTGGCCTAATTTCCAATGGGTTCTTACCAGACCATGTTTCTTGGGTTGGGCTCAGCCCTTCGGTTCTGGCCCAATTAGTTTTTAATGCTTCCACTATGACCATATGTTTACTTGTTTGGAGTGATCATACTCTGATATCAGCATATCCATATCCACTAGTCATAGTTGACCAAATAAAAAAGAATACCCACTTCTCGTAGAATATTTATTATAAAATATATTTAGAGTTAAATATTTATGTACTATTTTGTGTAATCTTTTATATTACCAATTAATTAAAATATATGATAGGTATAAATTGTAAATTAATTATTATAAAAATTGATAATTATTGCTAATATGATAATATTAATTAAATAATATTGTAAAAAAATTACACTATCGGAATATTTCAACTAAATTTAAAAAATACAAGCACGTGTCTTTGATGTTTATTATGTAATTTAACTGTTATTTTTATTCAATGTTTTATAATGTTTTAAATTAAACTTTCATGGAATTAACAGAATAAAATTATGTTAGTCAATATTTAAAAATACAATTGTTTTTAATTTAGTCTTTTTAGAAATAGTTTTATCCTTTAACAACTTCAACTCTTTGATAGTACACTCGACGATTAAATCTACTAATGGTGATTAAAACGCTAATCAACGCCAGGAATAATTTGATGTGAATTTCGATATCTAATTTGTGTGTGTATTAAGATTAACTTGAGAAAATAAATTATTTTAATAATTTATTTATCATTATTGATTATTGTAATAATTATTTATATGAAATAAATTACACGTTTAGATATATTAGGTGAAAAGTAGTTTTGAAATAATTTATTATTTTTATATCATGAAAATTTAAAAATATTAGAATAAAATAAAGAATATATGAAATTATGTATCATAGCTAATTTTATATTTTAAAAAATTTAATTATTAAAGTAAGAATAAAAATAAAAAATTTCTAAAAATAGTTAAAATAAAAGTTTAGTTCCCGTGTATTATTAATATTAAATTTTTTTATATTATTAAATAATTGAAATTTATCATAAATAAAATTTTGATATTAATTACTATAAAAATTAATAATTATTGTTAATATAATACTTGATTATTATATTATATTTAAATTAAATCTAATTAATAATAATTAATTATAAACTTATTTAAAGAAGATTTTCTTTATTATTTAAATAATCAAAACTTTAATCTTTTTTAAGCAATAAAATTCAAATGTATGTAAACAGTTATTTTTCCACCCAAAACCCTGATACAAGTGTGTCCAACTTTAACGTCTCTCCATTTTTTTATTATAAAAATATTCAAACAAAAAATGATTTAAAAAAAGACATTATAAAAAAATTGTAACTCCACAAAAGTTTATTTTAATCATACTTACCTAATGGCTCGTATATGAAATAGTTGTTTCAATATTTGCATTTAAAAGGGAATATCAAACAATTTTAATGGTTGATAGAAAACTTAACATAATAATATTTAATTACCTTTCTTTATTTTAAAAAACTCTAAAAGATGAAATTAATTTTAAATAATTTTCTTACATTTTTATTGGATGAGGCACCTCCTAAGTCCTATCCATGCAATTTTTCAGAGCTTCCCAGTTAATAATAGTTGTGCTGATTGGTTAGTTAAGGTTAGGGCTGATAATGCGATGCCTTCTTATTTTTTAAATTTTGTCCCTTTAAACCTATTATCTAAATTTTTGTTGTTGTTTGAGTTTTGAATCTAATTTATTAAAAAATAAATAAAAAATTAGCCGCTAAAAAATAAAAGCGATTTTTATTAACAAAAATAAATATTTAAATTTAAAAAAGACTCTCTGGTTATTTAATTTTTTACACATAATTTTAGAAAAAAAAAATCCCATGCGCATGTAATGCATATGCCGTAAAAATCAATTGGGATGTGTTAGGTACAAACTACCCCTGTCACGTAAACACAGTCCTTATTTTGTTTTCTACTTAAGACACTTAAAATCTATTTAAAAGCTACTACTATTAGCGAAACTCCATGCCTCCATGTATTTTTATTATCAATCTATATTCACGTTAAGCACTAAACACTAAATTGTATTCTGAACTAATAAAAACATCAACTTTTCCATAAAAATTATTTTTAAAAATATTAGTAAATTCAATAAAATAAACTGAAAAAAATAGTTTAAAATAGAAAAAGTAAATTAAATGACCAAATTAAAACGTAAATTAAATTTAGCGGTCAGAAACAGTAACTTTACCTCGATACTGTAATGTAAGCTCTCCAAGTGTTTGTTTGCGTACAGTTAAAATCACTTTTGTGAGATAAAGAATTAATTAGGACATTAATAAATTATGTTAGATAATTTTTATTCTCTCAAAATATTTTTTTAAATAATAAAAACAATTTGTCTTTCAAAACAGTATATTTAAGTTTGGACGTGTGATTATTAAATTTTTAGAAAATATTCATATTTATACTGTAAAAAGTTGTCTTCGTCTATCAATTGAATAAAATTAAATATTCCTAAATTATTTTAAAATATTTTTTACTTACAAATTAATTTTGATATCAGCTGTCTATGAAACTAAATACTTTAATTATAAAATATAAATTAATTTAAATTAACAATTTAATTACAATATCTAATTGAAATTTTTATGTAAAATTTTCAATTTCATTTCAATTATTCATACCGATGATTTTTTCATATATGAAAACAAATTTAAATACTAAAATATAAAATTTATAAAAAAAATTATCAAAGCATATATTTTTTTAAATCACAAATAACAATTTTTGGTGTAAAAATTATTAAATATCATCAATTACATTTTTAGTATTTTTTATTTTTAATAATTTTGTATACATAAATTTGTATTGTTAAATTTCTGGTTCTTTAAATATATACCCCAAAAAAATACCAACGATTTTTAAATTTTAAATTTTTATAATTTTTTAAATCTCTTATTTCAGTATAAAATTTTAAATACTATATATAAAAAAAATTATTAACTTCAACTCTTAAAATTGAATTTAAACATTCACAAATAATTTTTTTTATAAAAAAGTATATAATTATTATATTAAAATTATAAAAATATAATAAATATTTTTTCTTCTAATAAAATTTTATTATTATTAATTATTTATCTTCAATTCTAAAAACTGAAATTAATACATAAACAAATAATCTCCGTACGGACTCTCATAAAGTTATTTTAAACGTTAAACAGCATATAAAATAAAATATTGTGGAAAACAACGTGGATCCTTTTTGCCGACTACGAAGTTTGAACAAAGATAACGCTTTTTAAATGAAATTAATGATCGGTTGAATTTTAAACTGCTATCTTGGCAACTTCAACCGATTAAATTATATGTTAATATTATATAATCAATTGAATAATGAATTAGTGTCAAATTAAAAAAAATATTGAGTTAAGTAATTTTTAAATGAATATCGACCTAATCGATTAGTCTGATCTGATTTTTAAAATCATGTAAAAATAAATATTATATGTAATAAAATTTTTAGGAGATAATGTATCAAAATTTAAAAATATTTTTCATTGTATTTTTAAATAGTAAAAAGTGTTTTTAATGTTCATATTTTAAAAATATATATAATTTAATTTCATTTGATAGTATTATTTTCTGTTTAGTCAATGTCTCCCCTTCAATTAAGTGAAAACATTAAAAAAATAATTTTAAAAAATTATACATTTTTAATAATTTCCCTAAATGTATTTTTTGAAGAAAAATATTTTAAATTACTTTTGGAAATTATTAATATTTGTATTTTTATTTATTTAATTAATATTTTAATTTAATGTTAATATGAATAAAAAGTAATTTTTGTATTTTAATACGTCACATTACATTAAACTAATAATAATAGTATTTTTAGTATAAAAATAATATTAATTTTGAAAATTTAAAAAAATAATTAACTTAATTTCAAAATAAATTAACATTGAGAAAGTGCCAGTTATTTGTAAATTAGAATAAAAATATTTATTTTATAAAATTGATTATTTAAATATTAAAATAAATAATATAAAATAAATTATCGTATAAATATATTTTTTTACTTCAATTTTTTTCTTAATTAAAAGAACAAAAGAAGTATATAAATAAAAGAAGAAAGTGTCATCTTAAAAATACTAATTAAAGAATAAAAATTAAAAGAATGAAAAATAAAATAAAAATCATTAAACATGTAGCATTTAGTATAAATTTTAATATAATAAAATTTTATAGATTAAATATTATCTAATATGATTATTAATAAAATATTATATATATATATATATTGAGTTTTTTATTTTTTTATATTTTTTAAAAAATTCTTAAAATAATATTTTTTTAAAACACATTCTCTTTTTAAAACTTTTTTGCCACTGTACTTGTTTTGTCTACCATAAAAATAAATTTAATTTTTCTTTATTTTTTAATTAAATTTTATTTTTATTAAAAACAAAATTACATGATTATCTATGTGTCATCGTCTGATAACTTTTTTTTATTACATAAATGAAACTCACAAAATTATACTACTTGTCATGTTAATCTAATAGTAAAAACTTGACTTAAAAAAGAGAGAATGAGTGTATCTAAAAATTCACCTATGACACTTAGTTCTTAGAGGTTTTGTCCATATATCACATGAAATTTATTAAACGATAATACGTGGTACACCAACATAATTTTATCTTAATTAAAAATAATAATTTTATTTGTATGATAGATAAAATAGTTGTTGATGTGATAAAAAATATATTTTAAAAAATATTATTTTAAAGTCATAAGTTTTGTTAGCGGGGCAAAGAAAAAGGAAAATAGAAGATTTATTTAATGGAGAGCACGTGATTTTGAAGCGGTGCGATGACATTGACAAACGGATGGAGTGTCGCCCACAGCACCGCTTCAAGGGATGTGCGTCATCTCTCTCAACTCATCACGCCGTCGCTTTAAAAAGCGTGGAACATGTGCTTAAATTAAAACAGTAATAATAATAATAATAATAATCTCTCTCAACTCATCTTTGCCTACACTTGCCTGTTTCCCCTCTGAAGCCAAACTTTTTATTTTTGTGGTGCTTTACGTGTTTAATTCGTTAACTCCCTATTTTCTTCACTCATTTTTTTTATTATTTATACTTCCCATTCCCCATTTCTTTTTCCTTCTGTGTAGTGTACACACACGCACACACGCAAGATGAGGAGGAACTGCAACTTGGAACTTCGCCTTTTTCCTCCCTCCCACTCCGATCTTCGCCCCATGTAACCCCATCTTCTCTCTCTCTCTCTTCCACTTTTTGTGAGTTCTGATATGTGTCTGTTTTTAAACAACCCCTTATTCTTTGATTCCTTTCTTAGTTTTTTTTTTTCCCTTTTGGTTCTTTTTCTGTGAAGAATGGAGGCAGAATTGAATGAGAGCCCACAACAACTGGACCAACAACAGCAACAGCACCATCCGTTAACCATTTTCTATGATGGCAAGATTTGCGTTTCTGATGTCACCGAGCATCAGGTATATATGCATGTTTTGTTGATCATTCTTCTTTATTTTTTTATTTTCCATTTGGGGGGAGGGGGAGAGTTATAAAAAAGAAGCAGCTACTGGAACATTTAATTTGTTAACTTGACGGATTAGTTAAGTTATTAGGAACCAAATATATATACATATCCATTATCTGTTGTTTTGGTTAATAATAATTTGGCTTTTAGATTCCCAGTATATATAAGATAGAGTGAGCGTTTTGATTATCACTAATTACTGTGGTAGATCCATTTGATAGAATTTATAATATGATACTTAGTAACGACTGTAACAAAAGTACAATGAATACATGCCTACCCTGAAAGAGAAGGAGCGAAGAGAGAAGAAAGGCTTTAAAGGGCGAAAGTGGTTACAGACAAGTTGGTGAGAAGCTAGTGCAAAAACAAACCATATTGTCTTGTCAACATCAAAACTTGGTTGTTGTAATAATATTTGACTGTATGATTTGGAACTTGGCTAGCTTCCAAGAAGTTTTGGTGTATGAATGCTAGACCCATTATTTGGACTAAGAAATTTGGGCAAAGCTGTGGTACCGATTGACACTTTTGGTGCATGTTTTTCTCGAGAGCGTTTTCTTTTTTCATGTCACCTTATTTCATACTATACAAAGACAAATAACGAACGAGTCAAATTTGTTAATTAGTAGGCACGTAGACCCAACGTTTATTTTAGGTGCTGAATTTCCACGTGCTGCCTGACTCAAGAGGTCAATTATTTTGAACATGAAAAAAGAGAGAATTATAAGTAGGGTCGTGTGAACTGCATGCAGGCCAGATCCATTCTAATGCTTGCAAACAAAGAGACGGAGGAAAGGGTGAGGACACCAACTGGGTCAGAACCATCATCACCATTACTGCAATCACATCATAACTTGTACAGCCCAGGCTCTGGACTTTCCATGAAAAGATCTCTGCAGAGGTTTCTTCAGAAGAGGAAGAATCGGGTCCAAGAAACATCCCCATACCATGATCATTAGCTAAGGTTAAAAGAGCAAATTAGTGAAAGGGTTAATCACAAATGAAAATTTTGGTTGGTTGGTTGCTTGTAATAGACTGCGATGAATTGATTACCCGTTTCCCAACACACACCTATGTGTGTTATGGGCTTGTAAATTAAGTACAGTTGTGAAACTGTTTGGGTTTTTAGTGTGTACATCCCTTTTTCTATATGTTAGTTGAAGATTTAGCATATGGCTTTTCCCTTTCTCAAATGGTAAAACGCACTTTAGTTTATGTTCCAATCAAAATGATAGTGCATGTTTTTTTTTTCAATTGCTTGAATAAATAGAGCACGGTAACATTAATAATTTTTTTAAAATTTTGGATAATCAATAGTGCGTGTTTTTTTTTAATAAATAGTCTAATTATGTATTTATTTAGGCTATATTTAAAATTTATTTGGTAAAATTAATTAAAGAATCATAACCGAACAAGTAGTTGATTATCGATCATATTAGAGTTATGTAGCAAAGTTTGCTTAAATGTATCAACAGTTATATAATATGAATTATTATATTAAGTATTATGTATACTTTTTAATTATTTTAATCAATTAGTTATAATGAATTATAACTTGACCCATTTGCATTTGGATTTCCATCTTCCGGTGCTTTGCTCCTTTTGGCGTGAGATTTGGACTGTGCGAACGTAGTGATTAATGTACAGAGACACATTTGTCGATTGTATGAATGTTGTGACCAGATTTTTCATGAAGCTTTTGCTATTTTATACAAAAACGTTTAGGATTGAAAAATGCACTGGTCCAGACAGAGGACAGTGACACGCACAAACCTTGAAAACGCCGTTTGGGAACCACAGTAGCAGATCAAACACAAGTATCTTCATTATTTACTTGAGATAAAGGATGAAAACGTTTCATGAGAATAGCATTTGAGGAACTGAACTTACTGTGATGCTTAGACTGAACAAGAATATACAGCCTCTACGTTGTTAATTAAAACATGAATGAATTCGGGTTATATCCCAAATTCTGATTGCTCCACGTGTTAATGTTTTAACTCCGCTTTTTTTCTTTCGTTATCTTGTCGATCTATTCTTTCCTTCCCATCTCTTCTCTCTCCTTTGAAATATGTAATGCCTTTCTTGTTTATCTTAATTATGTATAATATGTAACACGTGATTTTAAAAAAATAAACAAAATTTGAGATTTTTATTTTAAATAAATTATGATGCTTTAATAATGACTTGTGAGGAATTAAAAGATTTAAAGCAATTAGTTTAGTTTGTAAAAATTCTGGATAAAAGACGAAAATTAAAAAACTAATATATTCTTTTCAACCTTTTAAATAATACCAGAGATGTCATGATTACACCACAAAATTCTACACTTTTTTTTTTCACTTTATCTCTTTTTATCACATCATTTATTTTATCTTTTTTTATTTGCATGAGTTTTAAATATTTTTGTTGTATCAACTTGCAAGTTTCTGGAGCTACTATACGAGTGTATTTTAATTTAAGTAAAAATTATAAATAAAAATGCATAAAAAATAGTAGTAGTAAATAATTTTGCTACAAATGCTGGCTGAATATTTATTTTATGATATGGATAATTTAATAAGATATTTTTTTAAAATAAAGATAAAATTGTAAAAATAAATTATTTAGATAAAATCACATATGCTTTATTAATATGAAGCATCAAAATTCATAATTTAACAATAAAATTAAATTTAAAATTGTTTGAAATTATAATAATTTTAAAAAAATTCGTTAATCTAAAATAAAAATATTTGAATAATAAAATACATTTCTAAAAAAATAATAAGATATAACTTTAAAAATAAACTATGAAAAATAATTATATATATATATATATCAATTAAATTAGCATTAAATTGTTTGCTTTAAAAATTAATCTAAGAATAAAAAAAATAATTTTTACACTTTTAAATCTTTAGGTAATATGATTTTTAATTTTTTTTTCCAATTTACATTAAAAGAGACCAGTTTATGAATATTTGTATTACATGTGCCATAATATCTCATGACACAAAAGACACTTAAAAATCATGAAGTAGGGTGTGGGGGGGAACACTCATGGGACCTTTGTATCCCACTTGACACTTCACTTCAGTAAAACGTTTTTTAAATTTATACTGTGTCACATCACTCTTCCGATTCGTCAAACTAGGTATTTTCCCAGTTCTTAGATCCAGAAACCTATCAATGAATCTACCCAGAATTTTTATGAACCTTTTAAGGATTGAAATTGCACTGCTCCAAAGGACAGTGACACACACAGACCTTGAAAACGGGAACCACGGTAGCAGATCAAACAAGTGTCTTCTTTGTTTCCTTGAGATAAAGGATGAAAACGTTTCATCAGAATAGCATTTGAGGAACTGAATTTACTATCATTAGTTGTACATGCTTAGCTTTCATTATTCATTGGGACTGAACAACAATATGAGTATTTTCTCTATTAGTAAGCTAGAATAAGAATATACATGCTCTACGTTGTTAATTAAAACATAAGAGTATAGGGATAAACTGAGGTGTGTTCTTAATTAATTGAATTTGGTGTATTTTCTAAATTCTGATTCCTCCTTGTGTTGATGTCATAACTTTGTGTTCAACTCTAACATGACTGAACAAACTCTACATTAAATAAGAATGAAAAAGTTTACTGTTATATAAATAAAAATATCTACAACTTATGTAGTATATTATAGTCTGTATCATTTATGATTTGTTTTGGATGAGAAGAAAAATAAAGAGAAATGAAAAAATGAAATAGAAATGATGTAAATAAAAAAGAAATAGAGTAGAAATTATTTTTAAAAAAAAGTTACTTACTTCTGCTTGTTTAGATGAGTGAAAATGAGAATAAAAAAAATAAAATTATATAAAAATATTTTAAAAAATATATTTAACTTAAAAAAAGTTGAAATTTTTATTGTATTGATATAAAATTATTAATTTTTTATATATTTTTCTATAAAATATTAATTTAAATAATTAAATAAAAAAATTGCAACTGCATTTCACGCTTAACAAGACTGGAAATGGTATTGTGTGTTTCTCACAGAAATTAGCATATTTCAACCTTAAATTTTAGTTAAACCAAACCTCGAAAATGTTAAAACTCCTTCCATTTAAACTCTTACTATTTCAATCCCCTTCATTTTCATTTACACAAAACGTAGCGTTAGAATCTATTTGTACTGCAGATGAAATGACATTTATGCATTTAATAAGGCATTTTTTCTTAAGATCTGTTTGGTAGTTTAAAGGGAGCAGAAATAAAAAGGTCTGAAAGATAAGACAGGAGAGAAAAAAAGGAGAAGAGAAAGAGTTTTTCCAGAACTAAATTTGAGACAGAAAGTAAATAAAATCTGAAAGTTTAACATTCATCATAAACCCCATACTGCTAAGCAAGAGCATCAATGAGAATCAGTTATGTTAAACAATTACATGGGTATGTTAAATAATTAACTGATATATATTACAATATTTATACTATTTGTCCTCACTGTTATATATAAAATAAATACATATAAACACATATATTGTAAACAAATATATAACACTAGAATTTTATTTACCTAAATAATTTTGTTATATTATTATAAAAGTATAATATTATAATTTGATATTTTATATTTTATTTGAAGTATTTTTAAAATATTATAAAAAATTATATTATTTAGATAAATAAAAATAAGCTATTAAAAAGTAAAAATCTACTAGCAAAAAAAAATCTGTCTATTTGAATAAATAAAAAAAGTAAATTATATAAAAATATTTTAATAGTAATAATAATTTAATAAAAAATTAAAATAATTTTCTTAATATTTTAAAATTTTATTTAATATTAAGGTAAACTAAATTAAGAAAATAAAAATTAAAGTCCCCTTCATCTTCCAAGATCACACCTAGACGGGAGAGGAGAGAGAAAAAAAGACCTACCTCCCCATTTTCCATTCTTTGGTTAAAGAACTGAAGTTACGAATAAGTAAAATTAAAAATTTTACATAAAATCAATCATCTTATTTTATTTATACAAAACATCTCATCTAAACAAAATATAAATGAAAAATTTTCAAAATATGAAGAGCTATTTAATTTTTAAAAATATGATATACTTTTTTTATTAAATTTATTTTTAATTATAAAACAATCACACTATTTTATTTTTAAAAATTTACACAAAATATTAAAATAATAAAAATTTAATAATATGATATAAAGTGAAATAGTATAAAAAAAGCAATTTTTAAAGCATTGGGCACATGTGATTGATGTTGTGTTTCAAGGTCTCTATGTAACAAACAATTAATAAATCCTTTACCCTTTCTGGTCCTACCCTCAAAAACACCATTAGCAATGGTGCAAGTGTTGTCAAAAGAATCTGAAATGCTGGGTAGTGAATCCTCTTGTGTTGAATGTTTTATAGTTGGATTTAGGTACACTAAATTAATAATTGAATTTAGGCTTTATTTGATAAAGTTAGATTAAACTAAAACTGTTTGACTTTTCAAAGAGTTTGCCAAATCCCAGCACCAGCCAATGAAATGAGTTCAGTTGGGAGAAATTTATTCTGTACATTGACTAAAAAGTAGTAATTACTAATGAATGACTCATGCATTTATGATTTTAACACAGTTTTCTATTGAAGCATGAAATAAGAAGAAAGCTCATTCTAAATTTCCTACTATTATCAGGTTCTTGATGTGAAACCTCTTAGGCTCCAACCATATAGGTAAACAAGCTGAACGAATGTCATCTCATAACCTGGGAGCAATTCTTGGGGTATCCCACTCTGTCACAACATGGTCACGAGTTATCTCCTTAAGTGAACGGCAACCACTTAGTGCCATAGTCAGTTCAAACTCATCACGAAGCATCTGAAGTACTTTTCTTACACCAGCCTCACCATCAGCAGCCAAAGAGAACACCACAGGTCTTCCAATCTGAAATTTGAGATGAAAGGTAAATATAAAAATAGCAGGAACACCTGTTAACCATGACCCTGATTAGATTATTTAACATTTTCTGAAGCCTCTGATCTTTTGGTCAAATTGGCCAAGCTGGTCTTCATATAAGATGTTCAACCCATCAAAAGAAAGAATGATATTGTTAACCTTAACCCTTCAAGGCTAAATTTAAGCATCCAAAAGTAGTCAATTTTTATTATATATATATATATTGTACTTTTATATCTCTAACTATTAAATACTTCATTTTCCAATAAAAAATTAGTACTTTGGATGCTTAAATTTCCCCCTAAAAGCCACAGTTAATAAAATAAAAACGAAAAGCAAAATCCTAAGTTTCCTTGGCATTTGTGGTAAATTCATATTTGAGGAAACTTCTAATATCAGGATCATATGCTTCTCTGTGGAACTTGGGAATTACATCTCAGTGATGCATGTATGCTTCAGTAAGGCAAACCAGCACAGTGTAGCGCTCAACAGTTTAATTTGATAGGATGGGGATCAAACTTTCATATACTTACAAATACACCAGCTGCTCCAAGAGCCAGTGCTTTAAAAACATCTGTCCCTCGGCGAACTCCACCATCCAGAAAAACAGGAACTTTTCCTGCTGCAGCCTTCACAACCTATTTAAAGGCAAGCGCAACCAAAGCCTCATAAAAGTAAATAAAACAAATATTTCTTCAATGTTTTGTATTTTCTTTCTGGGGGATAAAACATCCATGCAATGTTGAGATACGAGAAAATATGACCATAAAAAAAAGTTCCTCAACATAACTAAGGGATGAAGAAAGATGGAAAATCAGTAGCAACAATATTCCAGCATGTTAATAAATTGAAAGAGGACATCACATAATAGGACCCAAAAATGAAAAAAAAAAAAAAAACCTGCAATAATTACGATTAAGTAAACAAGGCAATGAAAAAGAATCCAGGAAAGATTCAAATATAACAGCTTTGAAGTTTTAATACATAATGCTTGATTAACTAGAAGATTTAATGCAAAATGCCTGATTAACTAAAATTACACAGACAATTAGCAGGACTTAGTTCCACTACCAAGAAAGATAGCACTAGAAGTAGTTCAACCCTGTTTCAATTAATGTGAGAAATTTCGAGAAACGATTAGGATGTAGTACCTCTTCCAAAGCCATAATAGTTGCTGGGACATAGTCGAGTTGGCGAGCTCCATGATTGGAAACAATGATTCCAGCAACTCCAGCTTGTATGGCGATCCTTGCTACATTATTAGCACAAGATGTGGGATTACATTCATGACAGAGAAAACAATCCTAACAGATAAATAGACAGGGGAGAAACAGAATGTATCTGTCTGATGGGCTTACTATCTTCAGCAGTAAGTACACCCTTCACTAAAATTGGCAATGAAGTGATTGTTTTAAGCCATTTGACATCCTGTAAGAAGGTTACTACAGTATTACTTCCATATTCGATGTCATAGATTAGGAAATTTATATATATAAAAGATCTAAAATCACCTTCCAGTTGAGTGATCGATCCATTTGCCCAGCAACATAAGAGGCAAGACCAGAGTCATTAGTCTGCAAGGTGATCCCAAACAGTAAATAGCAACAACATCAACAACAATAGGATGACCAATAATGGGAAAAACAACCTGATTTCAAAATTTCATACTAATAAATTAGTCACTAACCTTGTCCAACTTTCCAAGATCCAATCCTTCAAAATTCTTCAATATGAGGTGCGGTGGCAATGTAAACCTGTACAATACCCCATCAAACAAGCCAGTAGTTATATACTTTAAAGTAGAAGATTTATCAATTTGACCTTGATGACCCGTGTCAAGTTTTGTAAAAGGACTATTCCCATTGAAATTTCCAAACAGTTGCCAACCTGTTTTTAATGTCAGCCTCTCTACGACCAAGAACTGGAGTGTCCACGGTAAGAGCAATTGCCTTGAAACCAGCTCTTTCAGCTCTTCTCACAAGCTGAGTAACCACGTTTCTGTCTTTAAGCACCTAAAAGAAGAAAAGAACATCAACATATTAGGTATTAACACAAGGTTGTTGAGAATTTTGGATAAATTTATTAGTGCTTGCTTAACTCAAGCAAGGAGAATACTATTTCTTTATTAAAAGGAAGTATGAAGGAAATTATAGTGAAAGGAAAAGAGTGATTTGTGAAACTGTTATGGTTATTTCTGGTAAGAATAATTGGAAACAAAATGCTAGCAATTCCATCACATTAGAGCAGCAGTGAAAGTGCAAACAAAAAAGTTATATACCGGCAATTCATATCTCAAAATATCAAAAGTGAATTCTTGTCTCATACTAAGTTGCATGGATATGTTTGGTTGACAGGGAAATGATATTGTATTCAAGGGGGAGACTTGTAAAACACATCACAGAACATGAAATCATGAAAAGAAGAATTAGGGACAATATACTCATATACCCACATAAAGTTGGAAAAAACGAATGCCGGGTCCTGTTGAAGCAACCTCCTCAACACTAGAAGTAGCCCATGAGGACAGTGTCTGTAAAAAAAATATGAAAATTAATTTTCGGGAAAGGAAATAAGTACAACAAATGCATGCAAGGAAGTAGGTCTATGCCATTTAATATTAGAGTCGAATAAATAAGAGAACTACAAGGAAAAATATAGTTGTTGTTTGGAAATAAAACTAGAGGACGAATATGGTGACAACTAAACCATGATTGTGCCAGCTGCTGATGCTGCTCTAGCAGTAGCGTATTCTCCTGCAAAAAAGTTGTATATTTTGTTTTAGTTTACACTTTTTTTCACAATGGCGGTAAAAAAAAAAAATTTTAAATTAAGAATCCGGGACTTATGCGTTGACAAAAACTGCCAAGTTTAAGTTTAATATTAAAGAATTTTATAATTTGTAGCATATTCTTTAAATAACAAACAAAATAGTCAGATGATGTCAAGAATGAAGCACTGTTATGATGCTTTATGTTTCTTTTATTTCCACTTTGTACAAAAGCGAAATTCATTTATAGAGAAGAGAAATACCAAGAGAGCAGGATAAGATATCCTCCACAAAAAGGACAGTGAAAGATAAAATTACAATAAAACCAACGAAACCGAGCACAAAATTAAGATTGCACAATGAGAAACTGTGGTGTTCACATTGATATTATGCTTCATATTCAGCAATCGCAAATATTTAGCATGCAGAAACTTTACCAGTTTCAGCATATAAATACTTCGTACTCTTTATATCAAGAAACACAAGATAAATTCTCGTTAAATTAAATGCAATGAAGCTACATATTATAGCATTCTAAAATCATTCCACCTTGAGGTATGGGAATCTATAGTTCTGTGATTTTTGGCTCTAAGAGAGTACGGTATTTATATACACAACAATAACAAAATAGTGGATGTGATGGCAATATCTTAATGTAACACCGACCAATAAGTTTGATCACATACCTTCAGGGTGAGCCATCTTTTGCATGGCTGTAGGAGCAATCATGATAGGCATTGATATTTTGAAGCCCAATACAGTTGTAGTCAAGTCTATCTTGCTTACATCAACAAGAATACGTGGTCGGAACCTGTTTGAAGTAAACCAAATAGATATTGAGAGTAGAGCTTCAGAAAAAAAAATGCAAGGTAATAGAGGAAATTGAAAGAAATTAAAGGAAGCATAAGTTGCAATCTCATAGCAGTTAAAGGAAAGGTGAACATAGATGTTGAATGAAAAGGAATCATCTAGAGGGCCAGAAACAGATAAAAGAAGGACGGGTTCTCAAGAAAAGTAGATTACAGAATCCTTGAGAATGCATTTCGGTTCTCTTTCAAAGTCCATTGATCCTCTGCCCCTGATGCATAGTAGTCATAAATCATCTTTGGCAATTTTTCCTTCGCAATTGCCTCATACTCAGTAACATTAGTTATCTTATCCATCTTCACAATATTTAGTTATGATGTCCACAGGATCTGCTGAAAGCGAGTCTAAAATATAGTGATTAAATAACATGAATTCATATCAAATGCATTCCAATCCAAAGATAATATGCAGCATCAATAAATGCATGTATGATGTATGAATGTATCACTGACTCATTCCAAAACACTAAGAAACATGCTAGTTAGAATCCTGTCAATGTACAATCTAGGACAACATCAATTCGATCTCATTTCCCATTACTATATCCCCTTTCTCCCTCCTTCTTGCAAGGCCTATTACGAGTTTCCCTAAACCAAAAGAGAGAGAGAGAGAGAGGGATACTGGACTTCTTATGGAAAAGAGTTATCATTCCATGCTAATAAACGATTCATCAGTCCCCACCACATGAAAGCAAGAACTTCTGAACTTTTCATGTCATAACCCCACTTTCTGGGATCATTTTACTTTATGTGAAATTGATGAGTAATTCCACAAACAGGTTCAGTTCTTATCTACCCACTGAAATTCTGAAAAGTGAGCTGGGACCAGATTCTGAAGAAACCCGTGATGAAAAGCAAACCAGGAGATTAAAGGTCCAGACTTTATAAACGTTTAAACCTTAAACAGTACCCAGAACGTTAAATTGCAATATTAGGCGCAAAAATGAAGAAACCGTAATTAAGACCACAAAACAAAGTTAATCTTATTCATCCTAATTAATTAGCATAATGAAAAATAATGATCCTTTATATTATATACAGCTGCAAATAACATGGAATTAAAATCATTTACCAAGAAGAATGAAAATAACACAAATATAAGATGAAGGGGAAAACCTTTGATTTATGATGCTGAGGTAAGGAATGAGATGAAGCTAAGGAGTGAGAGAATCTGACGAGAAAAAGTGAAAGAAATCTCAAAGTATATAGTAGCGCCAAAGAAACATAGGAGGGAAATAATAAGGGTATTGCATGTAGTGACAAAGAAACGAGTACGCTATCATCGCATCAAACATCAATTATATGAAGAGTGAGACAAGCACTATTGGACTGGCTTTGCAAGGTGATCAACGAGACAAAACTGCTCCATGGAACTGTGTGCAATCGCACTGTTGACCACGAGCACATTTGTCTGTTTTTCATTGGTTATGCATTCCTACGAATGTTATTGACAAGTATCTATCTGGTTAGATACGATGTATGTTCTGCACAAATTATAATGCTTTTCTTATTTATTAAAGACATTTTTTTCAAAATGTTAAAAGATTATTTTTAAGCTTTAATATATTTTTTACTTTAAATTTCAATTTTTTTAAGCCAATACTTAAGATTTGTACTGACTGCTAAATAATAATATAATTAATAAAGATATAGGAAATGAGATTGAAATAGATACATTATATAAATATAGCAATCAAAATTATAAAATAAAAATGTATGAAAATATAAAAATGAATATATTTCAGTCATTTTTTTAACATATATTCAATGAATTTTTAAGATTATATTATTTGAATAAAAACCCTGAGCAAAAGTTCCTTACTTTCTATGGAAGAATAAGGAGTTCATGGTTGGCAAGATTAATTAAGGCAAAAATAATTGTCAAATTTGGTGACTGGGAAATTTCTTAAAAATGTGTTGAATTTTACGTTCAGAAGTTTCAAGAATTCATAGGTTAGCATTGGCAGCTGAAATTCTTTTGTAAATGTGTTGGACTTAGGTTGGAGGATTAACATACTACTATTGAGTATAACGTGTATTGCAAAATTTTTAAATTTATTAAAATTGGATATAAATTTAAAAATTTATATTAAATTGGAGAATATATTTGGAATAATTAAGGTTAAATTAAAAATTGTGCCCTTATATTTGTCCGTACATAAAAAAACTTACATGTTTTAATATATCTAAGTAGGAAATTTTAGAAGTGGGTCTTTATTATTTGTGAAAATGATAATAGAAATAAATTTTACCAATTTTTTTAACGTTTTATCCTATATGACATCATGCCATTTCAGCAAATACAGTGAATAATTCAAGAAAATTTAATATCATTGTAACTTTAATAAATGTCAAAAATTGATTTATAAATGTTATTTCAGATAAAATAAAATATATATTTTTATATAAAGCCTAAAATAAGAAAAAAAGTATATAGAGACTAGCCTTGCTTAATTTTTGTTCACAATTTTCAAAACTTGATTTTAAAATTATTTTAAAATTTTGTTTAACATCAATTTTTGAAAATAAAATGAATGAAAAGCTTGTTTGGCATGACAACATTTTGGATTTTAAAAATGGGTGAATTTTTTGTCCATCAATATAAATGTTCTCCGTGTATTTTATTATAAAATTATTATCCACCGCAAATTTTAATGAAAATATATGACAAAACAGCTTTTAGATGTTTCTGCTTTGTATATTTTATAACTGGCGTTTTAAGGATGGTTTTTAAAACAACCGGAAGAAAACAAAAAATAATAGTGTTTTTAAAATTACTTTTTTTTCAGTTTTCTGAACTATAAAATTGTTTATTAACTTTTTATAATAAAGTAATTTTAATGTATGATATATTTACATCATTTAATATATCTTGTAATATAGTTAATTTTAAAAAATAATTTATTTTAATTTTAAAAAAGCTTTTGACAATAATAACGAAGACACGTATTATCAATAAAATGTTTAAAACTAATAACATAAGCAGTTTTTTAAAACAGATATTAGATAAAGTTAGAAAATGTAATTAATAATAATATATTTTTATATTTAAAAGGGTTTACAAAATCAAGACAAATAAATAGAACCTAATCAACAAAAGAGAGAATCAATTCCAAGTAAAGGGATAAAAAAAAAGAACCTTATTTATCAAGCAAAAACTATCAAGAGCGTCATGTGCCATTTAAGCAAGACAATCAATATTAGCTTCTCTAAAACTATACTATCAGTTCTACGCTTCTTTAATCGACAATTAATATAACTAAATGAATTGCTCATATAAGGTGAATCTACATTTTTTTTGTCTCAATATTTAGGAAGGGTTTCTTATATTTTATGTTTTAGGGATACAATAAAACAAGTGAAGAAGCAACACTGAAGTAGTGGAATCAAAGCAATGAAGTAACATAGGACCAATGAGCTTCAAGTAATATATAGTAGTTTAGTGGAGCAATAACAAATAGATGAAAATTTTGGTTCTTCAAGTGTCACAGAAATGAGTTGAATGGGGTACCCATGATTAGTGTTGGTGTTGTAACGAGCTTCATCCAAAGATCCACAGCACTCACTCATCTTCTTCAACTCCACACTCTCTTCATCAAAACCTCCTTCAATCACCACCCTTTTCTCATATCTCAATTCCTCTTATCAGCATCATCCATTTCCCTCCCTTTCGCCACTTCCTTCTTCCACTCTCTCCCCATTCTCCCACCCATCTTCGCATGGAACACTCTCATCAGAGCCTTCGCTCACACCCCAACCCCTCTCCATTCCCTTTCCCTCTTCCGCCGCCTCCATTCTTCTCCACTTTACCCCGACAACTTCACCTTCACCTTCGCTCTCATGGCCTCCGCTCGCTCTTCCTCCATTGCCCATGGTGGGACCCTCCATTCTCTTATTTTCAAGATGGGTTTTCCCTCTGATCGCTATATCGGCAACACCCTTTTGAAGATGTATGTTGATTGCGGTGCTTTTCTGTTTGCACGAAACGTGTTCGATGAAATGCCTGTTAGAGACGTTGTGTCTTGGAGCTCCATGATTGTGGCTTCTGTTGCCTCCAATTCCCCTTTGGATGCTTTAGGTGTGTTTCGAGAGATGAATGTGGTTAATGAAAAGCCGAACTCGGTCACTTTGCTGAGTTTGCTTTCTGCTTGTACTCAAATGCTCAATGTCAATGCTGGCGGGTCCATTCATTGCTACATTACAAGGAATTGGGTTGAAATGGGTGTTGCATTGGGCACGGCTTTATTTGAGATGTATGGTAAGTGTGGGAAGATTGACCAGGCCCTTTTGGTTTTCAATTCAATGCATGAGAAGAACTTGCAATCCTGCACTATCATGATCTCTGTGCTTGCTGATCATGGGCGTTGGAAGGATTGTACTTGTCTGTTTATCCAAATGGAGGCTATGGGGTTGCAGCTAGATAGTATGTCTTTTACTGTGATCCTCTCAGCGTGCAGCCACATGGGACTTGTTTACGAGGGCAAGAAGTATTTTGATCGGATGGTGAGATTGTATGATATAGAGCCAACTGTTGAGCATTATGGTTGCATGGTTGACTTGCTAGGAAGAGCTGGATTGATTCAAGAAGCTTATGATATCATCCAGAACATGCCCATGGAGCCCAATGATATCATAATGAGGAGTTTTCTGAGTTCTTGCAGAAATCATGGGTGGATTCCAAGTTTGGAATATAATCTGCTGTCTAAACCGAACTCTGAATTGGGGCCAAATTATGTTCTTGCTGCTAATATTTTTTCCATCCGTGATTCCTGGAAGGATGCCAATGACTTGAGGTTAGCCATGAAAGAAAAGGGGTTGAAGAAAATTCCTGGTTTTAGTTGGGTGGAGGTGCCAAATTGATGTCTAATATATCTTGAAAAGAAGCTCTACTAGAGAGTATCCTTCTACATTCTTCCTATATTCAGTGAATTATTGATTGCAAATAGATGCATAATATTAGGAGTTAGGAGTGAGCAGGAATTGTAAATATAGGTGAATATAACTCAGTTTTCAATCTTACAAGTAAATTTTGTTCTGGTTTCAGTAAAAATTTTTGCATGAATGGCATATTCAGAAGAGTAACTTTCTTTGACGGGTGCAAAAATATGTAAAGCCACAAAGGGGAATCACAGCGCTCTACTGTAGCGACGAGTCAGAGTAAATAAAAACAAAAGAAAGAATAAATTTTAATTTTTGCATTTAAGAATCAAATTTTCTTTTCTTTTTTATTTTCATTTAACCAAACAAATAAATACAATTAACCATGTTTTATTTTTTTTTTCTTTCCAATTTTTCACGATATGGCCTTAGATATAAAGCATCAGCACTTCCTTCCTTGTTCCAAATCCCAATATTTACCTTAGGATCAGATTTAACTTTTCGTCAAAAGTGGGTTTCTTTTAGGGATTCAGATCATCTCTCTCATTGTAGTGAGGACTGGACTATCCAGTTATTTTATATTATTTTTCATCTTTTAAATCATGTTTTTTTTGCTTTAAAAATAAACTGAATAGTCAATTCCTGCCACAAAAAAAGAGGATCTAAATCTTTCTTTCAAGGTATCTATCGAAGTTTCTTTGCAAGTATGCATTATGTTATTGTTGTCAATTTGAAATAACACGTTGATTATTCGGAGGATCAAGTAATAGGCTGTGTCCCAAATTGGTTTCTTTTAATATTTGCTTGCGTTATTCTCTTCATACATTTCATAATTCAATTGGTTCTTGCTTGTTTGTCGCACATGCCATTAAGTCATTCATTTTTAGATCAAAATCCAAGAGAGTTGTGTTTGTAATTGCCTGACAAGGTTTCTCCATTTTTAACACATGGAATTCCGTATGAAATTTGAATTCAAATATAATCTTATTTATCGTATTTGATATACGTAGTATTATTGTAATTTTAATTGAGTTTAAATTTATAACAATAAAAATTATAAAACAATTAACTTATGTTTTCTTCGATTCTTTTATAAAAAATAAAAGATAATTTTTATCTTAATTATTAAAAAACATATATTACTAAAATTATTTAATATTTTATTTTATTATAAAATTTGTCTCAACGAAATGCTCATCCTTTTAATATGAATTTTTCAAAATAAAATACGAAGTTGTAATTAATAATTAATTGTCTTTAATTTTAATAAATTAATCATTTATTTTTTGTATATATATATATATATATAATATTATAGTTATGTAATTTCAAATATTAAAATTAAAATTAAATTTATTTCTCATTATTTAGCGGTACTGCTTGGGTCAGTGCGTGTACTGTACGCATACAATAATTCATCCGCATGAGACAGGTTTTTACGGTTTCTTGGTTAAGAATATCTTCATTAATATTTTTTTAAAATAAAAAGGTACTTTTAATTAAAATAACATTATAAAAAACTGTAATATAAAAACAATGACTAATCTAAAACTTTTAAAAGTTATAACTATTTTTTTAATAAAAATTATCCAAAAGCTCCCAAGTGATGGTGAAGCCCTGAAACTCCCACTTCCGATGAGAATTGGTAAATGGTCCAAATTCACAGAGTAATATTAATGACATTCACAACTTCACATGCAAAAGAGCAAATGCATTGACCATTTTATACTCCCAATATATCAAAACGTGATAAAAAGCAAACAACCACCAAAGTTCTCAGATTCTCCTGTTTTTTTTAACCTTATAGTAATCATTTCTAAACTAACTACACACTTTTTTTTAGTTGTTGAAGTTTGGTTTGTAAATAATTTAAGAATTTTCTTAATTTCAGTCTTTCAGAGCTGAATTTAAATATTCTCAAATAAATTTTTTTATAAAAAAAATACATAATTATTATATTAAAATTATAAAAACACAATAAATATTTTTTTAAATAAAATTTTATTATTATTAACTGCATATTTTTTACTCTAGTTTAACAAAATTCATAATTTAATGATGTTATTATCTCTTTATTTTATTAATCTTAACTTTTAAAAATTAAGTTTAAATATTTAAAACGGTAAGTTTTTGTTAAAAATATTTATTACACTTTATATTTTTAGTATAATAAACATTTTTTAATAAAAATATTATTCTTCATTACTTACATTGAATTCTAAAGTTAAATTAACCGAATCAATTATTTATTTTTCTCTATTTAAATGTGAACATTCCTTAAAATATCTGTCAAATAATTGGTTTTTTAGAAGCTCAAAAATAGAAAAAAGAAAAAGAAAACAGTTGGATGTTTCTATTGATGTCACAAACCAAGATACATAAAATCCATTGAAATGCACTGAAAATAAAAACAAATGGACAGCTGGCTTTGTACCTGAGCAAACACTCTCTACAGTGAGTACTGAGTTCACTCCCACACCACACAGCACAAAGACAAAGTGAAGCACTTTGGAACACTCAAACTTGCTTCTTCAGTGTTTCTTCCCACTCCATGGCCTCTTCAGGAACCAGATCAGCTTCAGGTTTCAGCTTCTCAGAGCATTGGCTCATAATGGCAGCCACTGCTCTCATTTGTGGATTTGTGGGTTACATAGTGTATGACGCCATCATGGCCACTGCATCTGAGTTACTGCAACGTTTGCTGGTAATATCTCCATTGCTCTTAATCATCATTGTTCACTGGCTTTCCACTGGTACCCAGTTAAGCTTTCCCATGCCAGGATCTGAGCCTGGTGCTATCCACAGAGCTGGTGGTTCTCCTTGGGGTGTTGCCTTTGTTCTTCTCCTCCTTTTCTTTCTCATTTCCTACCAACCTTCCCTTCATCATCTTGTTTCCTAGCATGTGGCTATAATATTTTCACTTTTCAGCTATCAAAATGAAGTGCATGTTACTTGGTAGGGGTAGGGTGCTTTTAATTTTGGACTTCATATGGATGGGTACATTATTATTAGGATCATTAGCTCATGATGAAGGTGTTTCTAAGTTAACTTGCAACAGTGTAACGTGTATTCTCCGTCAGTGTGAAATGGGGTCTTAAATTAAATTTGGGTATGTTTTGCTGTAAACTTGTAATTTCTCTTTCCCTTGTAGCTAAATTTTGTGGTCGTGTTAAGTTTCCATCTTTGCTCACCAACAATAAGTTTATTGGAAAAATTCAATAAATAGAAATTTTTAATAGAATTTATGATAAAGATGTAACGATAATATCAATTATTATACTTTCTAATAAAGTTTTATTTTGACAAATGTAGTAATTAATTAAAGAATCAAAGTTCAAAAAATATCAAGATAATTTTTTTATAATTTTAACTAAAATTTTTAATTAATAAATTTTAGTTAATAAGGCTCGTTCTCTTTTTATTTTTGAATTTTTAATTGTTATCCTTAAAATAATGATTAATATAAAGTATAACGATATTGTAGACAATGATTATTTCTTTAAGTTTTTTTAAAATTATTCTCAATTTACTAATTTAAGGCTTGATCAAAATTAGTTTTTGGTCATATTTTTATTTAATAATTATGTGGATAATTAATTAAATGAAATAAATAATAAAAATATTTTAGATAAAGTATAGTAATTTTTTCATTAATTAATATTTTTCAACTTCTGTACATCAACCTTACAACTATTAAAAGAAATAATTTTAGGAGAAAATAGTAAATTCTAACGAGTATTTATGACAAAGGTCCTAGAGACATGCCAGGCTTCACCTTTGGAAGGACCCTCTGCTGGGTTTGCATTAACTTTTAGCAGATGAAATTAGTAATTGTTCACCTAAAAGAACCAGTTGTTGAAAAAAAAACTAAAAAAACCAGTTTAACTGTAACGAAAAACAAAATCTTAACTGCTGTACTGAGAAAAACTTCTTAACCAAACCCTCGTTTTAACACAGGAAATACTAACTTAAAATTATTTACTTCCCTTCTCTGTAAAAATTTTGTGGAAAAAAATCTATTTATGTAAATTGTAGTTTCAATTAATTAATTAAGACTTTGCTTGATTAGTCCATTCTTTTATTTCCAATTTTAACGGAAACTAAAGATGAAGTCAAAACATGTTTGGTTGAATTTTGAGAAATATTTTCTTGAAAACATAGGCTCAAATATGGGGAAAAAAAATATTTGTAATGTTTTCTCTGTAAAATTTTATAAATAACAACAACAAAAATTTGGTAACTTGTAAATAAGTTTTAAAAAAAGTACATGACACTCTTCTCTCTAATATCTGTCAATATTTTCCCTCCTAAAGAGTATCTTTGCCCTGAGTGCATCGCTTCTTCTTCTACTACTTCATCCTCTGAAATCATTCATTTTTTTCCCTTCACAAATTCCATAATTCCTCAAGGAACCTTTCTATTTCTTCCACTAGCTGCTAATTCAGGGCGATCTACTCCTCAACTTAGGACACCATCATATGCTCTCCTCTTTGCTTGAACAACTCAATTTCTACTTCAAAAGCTGTTCTTGGTTAATATGCAGAAATTGGTTTGCTGAATTAGTATATTGTAGATGATGGGCAATTGATAAAGTTTACTCTTGTCATTGTGATGGCTAGTGGTCTAAGCTTAATCAGGGCAAGCCAGCAAAAGCGCTCTCTATAATATCTAAAGACGTTTGAAGGATGCTATGAGAGCATCTTAGATAAGCAAGAATTTGAAGTATTGATTAGCTTGGTGAGCTTGCAAGTGGGTATTGCTCCTATTGGGCGTTTTAAGCTCTTTGAATGCAGAAGGCACATCTAGTTTAGAGCGTGTCTTCTATGAGGCCTTAATTAGGTGGGTCTATTTTAGTATGCATCTTGTTTACAAAATCCAACAAAAATACATCTTTTCTTTCACATTTTGTGAAAACCCATTATACAAAGAACTTGATTTTCACATTCCTTTTCTATTGTAGCCAATTCATATAACACACAAATGGTAATTGGACTCAAAACATTAATATTTTTTGTCTCGTTAGGATGAAAAGTAATCTAAAATAAGAATGAGAGGTCTCACAAAAAACACAAGTCAATATTTTTCATGGAACAATAACCTTGTTCACAAAATTCATCGTCTGAACCTTAAAAGCAAATCTAATTATCAATAAGTGCACTTAAAAAATTTACCAACCTGTCAACTAAAATCGTTTTGAAACACATTCGAAATGTATAAGTGAAGTATAATTAGATCAAAAGGGTGTTGCTTTCAATTTCATTATTAAAAAGGAGGTATTGCATTCTTATTAATTAGAGGTTTTATCAGCACTAGAAAACTTTCTTCCTTTTATATCAATGGGCAACAAGGATTGTGATACTGAAATATTTCTGGATCATCAAGAAACTGATATTGTCATATGCTCCTCTTTGCATTAACTTCTCAACTTCTTCTTTCAGAGAAGCTACTATTGGTTAATACTTAATACGCTGAAATTGCTTTGCCGAATCAGTAATGTAGAAAGTAGATGATGGGTGATTGACAAGTTTTACTCTTGTCATTGGAAACGTAATAATAAAGTATTATTGGTTCAAATGGGTGGCTTGCGTTCTATTATAAGAAAGGAGTGATTGCATGTTTGTTCTAAGAATAGGAGGGAAAATTAAGGATTTTATTAAGGTAAATTCTGTGATACTCAGACAAATTTTTTTTAAAATTCTAATCAATAATATTTAGATATCTATTTAAATAATAAATTTATTTAATAATAAATTATTATATTAATTACATTTAAATATACTAAAAAGCAGTTAAGGCTCATATCAAGATATAATCAAAACTAAACAAATTAAAATTTTAAAAAATAATATTATTATATTAATACTTTTTTATATTCTTAATTATATTATTATTAATAATTAATTATTTAGTTATTATATTAATATATTATGTTATAATTCTTTTTATTTATAATAAATAGAAATTATATTTTATTTAAAAAACTAAACTAAACAAACTTAAATTTAAAAATAAAATAATAAATATTAATATATTTTTCATATTTTAATTTTATTATTAATATTCAATTATTTAATTATTATATTAATATATTTATATTATAATTTTTTATTTATAATAAATAAAAATTACTTAAATATGAATTATATTTTATTTAAAATTAAAATTTATAAAAAAAAAATAAGAAATTCAATATATATATAATAATAGGACCATATAGCAAATAATATAATTTTAAATAAATTATATATAATAATATTTTTTTTAACTTATTACATATTTTGTGTTTATTAGTTTAAATTTTTTAAGTATGATATTCATAAAAAAAACTTCAGGATTACACAGCACGCACCTTTTATCAATATTATATGAGTTTATTCCTTTTATGCCAATGAACAATAAATATTGTGACAATTATTGATCATCAAAGTTTCGTCTCCATCTAGTACATTTATATTTAAATTGATAGTGATGTAAACTTTGAGAATGACTTCGACATTATCAAATACTATGTTTGAGTGATTAATCTTATGTAAATAAAAAAATAAAAATGATTACATCTAATAGATTAATATTATTTTATTAGTAAATATAATATATATATATATATATATATATTTCTATTCTTCAAATTTTATTTTTTAACTTCATAGAAAAATATTTCTAAATTAACTTTTAATTTGTTGAAAATGGATAACCCAAATAATTTTTAATGTTTTTTTTGTATAAACAATACACTAAAACAAACATATTTTCAAATCCAAAAAATATGTTGGAAAAATCAAATAAAAAAGACCTAAAATTTTTAATAAAAAGAATGACATAATTTTCTTAAATATTTATATATTAGTAAATATTATTTACTTACGGTAGAGATACAACTTGTTTCTCTGATCTACGCTTAATTTTTTTATAATATATAAACGGATAAACCAAATATTATCTATACAATCTTGTGGTAATTACACACTCAACTTCTTCTTTTTTACAAATAAAAGTGCCTTTTTTAAATATTGTATATTTTTTTTAAATTAACATTTGTGACTTCTCTAATATCTTAAATATTAAATAATATTTATATTTTTTCTAAATAAATTACTAACACTCATTATCTACTGCAAATATTTAATATCAAATTAACAAATGATAATTATTCTATATGTGAGAACATTGAATGTTAGTAAAAAATATTTATTTTTAATTAATACTACAGACTTCTCAAAGCACTTCAATTAAATATACTTTTTTTTTAGCAAATTTAGTTTGCAAAATAAAGTTAACGTAAGCTCTATATGACTATATCCCATCATAGAGCTCTGTTCTATTTTGTAATGATGCATCGTGCATGTGAAGTAACAAATTCTGTCGTGTAAAGTGGCGAAGAGAGTCCTTTGAGAGATTTAATTGAACGATCAATTCATTATAGACACTACATTTTCCTTGTTCACACTTGTTAACTGATTTAGAAAACGTTTGTTTAAGTTTGAAAAAACAATTCTATGATAGTTTTAATTTTCTTACAAATGTTGATATCAACTTCTCAAAAACACTAAAAAAACTTCATTTTTTAAAAACTTGTATGGTTATTGAATATATTCAAACATGTTTTTTCATGAAAAATTCTTTTAAGGCACAGACAAGCTGCTAATCAGATATTAAAAAAATTGATTAACTATTATTTAGCAACACACTGTTCCGAACACTCTTTAATATATTTCATGTAATTAATCAGTTTTTTAAAATGTCAAAGTAATTTTTAAAAGTTGATTAATTCATGACATAAGTAGTTTGGTATTTTTAAAAACAACGTAATGTGTTCACAAGTGTCTTACCAATATTTCTGTAATCATTTTTTTTAATGAAATAACAACATAACATTGCTATTTCAGATTGAACAATAGCTTGTGAAGTTCTTGCACACTAGCATAAAATCATACAAAATTATATGAAGCAAAGATTCAGAAAATGCAAACAGAAGGGAATGGGAGAGCAGGAGAAATCTTTGGCCTTCTTGTTCCTTGTTGTTTTCTCTGTTATACACTACTCATTAAACTTTGCAAGTTGTGGGTAAAAAGATTGAGAATTTCCCCTAAGATTCTCTGTCTCTCCCAACACATAAAAAATGTGGGAATCTTTTTCATGTTGTCAGTAACCAGGGTGGTTGCAGCATGCTCATTAATGCAGAACCGACACTCTTGCATGCCACTTTTCCTAAAGGCTGCAATAGACAATAACACTCGGGGAAGGCCTTGACATTTGTGACCCAACTTTTCACAGAAAAAAAACAAAAACAAATATGAAAGGCCAAATGCAATTCTTTTTTATTTCTAGCATTGCATAATGCATGCCATCCTATCTATTATTGAAGCCACTAATAAGGTGCCGGCAAGCATATTGCAATGCATGCGGCTTTATATGAACAATAACTTCCATGCACATTTCCAACAAGAAAATGACTTGTGAGGGAAACTTAATAAGATTGTGATTCAGGGCCTAAAAGTAAAACATTTTTTATAAAAAATTAATCTCTAATGTTACAAATGAGACTCAGGAATCACATAACCAAGTTTAAAATTAAAACCAAAGTAAATAGGATGACTTGTAGATCATTCAGACAAGATGAACAAGAACTTGGGTGGCTAGCATACCAAGAAGGCTTTATTCCTGAAAGGTCTTCAAGTGGTCCACCAGCAAAAGAATCATCATTCTTCTGTCTCATGTTCAAACAAGAGGGGATTTCCAAGTATGAAGAGAGGTTCTTCTTGTTTGGCTGATCAACGATGCAAAGCTCACTGTTTCCTCTTACATCCAACCTTTTACCTAACTTTCGAATGAACTCATCAGGGAGCTGTAGCACCCCACTCAGCCTGTTGTGGCTAATATTCAGCTGATCTAGGTTAGGGAGTGAACCCAAATTTGGAGGAACTGGTCCAGTGAGGGTATTGTTACCTAAGGAGAGAGCTGTAAGGTTCTTCAAGTAAGAGAAAGTGTAAGGTATATGGCCTGTTAATCCACACCCTGATAGGCTCACTGATTTGAGCTTTCTAAGCTTCCCTATGAACTGTGGTATCCCTCCTTTAATGGGGTTGTCATCAATGAGTAAATATTCTAAAAGCTCCAAACTTGATAGTGTTTCATGAATAGGCCCACCAATAAAATTATGACTCAGATCAAGCAAGACTAACCTCTTGAGATTTCCTAAATCAGGAGGAATGTTTCCACTAAGCCTGTTGAAATGCAAATCCATCTTCTGGAGAAGTTGGAGTTGTCCAAGGGAATGAGGCAGAATCCCTTCAATTACATTGCAACTGAGGTCCAAAATGGTCATGCTTTTCAAACCTCCAATTTCCTTGGGGATTTGACCACTCAAGTTGTTATAACTAAGGTCAAGTTGCTCTAGACCAACTAAACCACCAATATGGCTTGGGATGTTTCCCTTTAAGCTGTTTTGGGACAGGCTTAGGACCCTAAGACTAACAACATCTCCCAAACTAGTAGGAATTTCTCCAGAGAGAGCTTGATTAGACTGCAAAGCCAGGTGTTCTAAAGAAGAGAAAGGACCAAAGAGTGTTTTGGGTAGAGTAACAGGTGAAGCAACAAAACAGTTAAAAATAGAAAGGGTTTTCAGATACTTGAGCTTTAGCAAGGACTCTGATAGATAAGCTTTGGGCTTGCAAGGTGGAGAGATTATATCAGGACCAATGTGGATCTTAGTGACATGAAAGATTGGTTGGTTACTACTGCTAACTTCACACTCAACACCTGGCCATGGAGTATCTGTACATGGCTGTGGATGTGCTTGTGCCCAATCAGGATCTTCTAGAAGAGCATCCATCACTTCAAACAACCCCAACAGTTCCTCCTCTTCCATTATCATGTTCCCCCAATGTAAGCTGCTTCCCATTGACATCATTTCAACGAAAAACACAAAGAACCAAACAAGAATAAGAGAAAGAGATGCCATTTGAGACACTGCCTCTACTTAAATCTCCAACAACCCACAAATGGGGTGGCAAAACTTGAGGATTTATAGCCAACTGAAAAGACCAAGTTCCTCTTACTCTATATAAGCTTTCTTGAACGATGCTTTTGATGGCAAAGGAGAAGGATGTAAAGGTAACACTAAGATCCTCATTTTGGTGTCAGCGGCTGGGAAGGCTGTAAAGAAAAACCAAAGCTGTCACCTCTCCCAAAAATTTGTTGGGTGTGTGAGTGTGACTGTTAGTTTGCATGGAAAAGGGTGGGAGATGAGATGGGAAGACAAATGGACTACCATAAAAGGGCAATGTAATTTGCCAGAAGGGTCAAATTGCTAATTCATAGCAATCTTGCAAAGATATGACATGACTGTGAGAACCTGTGACAAAGTAATAAAGCCGACCATACAGGGATTATCAACAAAGACATATACCTTTTCACCCATTTCCATGAACTCTTGCATCCCTTCTTTCACTTCACATACCCAATTTGATTGGCAGTGTTATTAACTTGTCTACTATCCTTTCCTTTGATGGTGTACTATTTATTATTGCTTCCATTCTTCTATACGGTGCATATTTTACTTACTAGTTTTATTTATATATTTTGCATTTGTTACTTTTGTCTATTGTTTTTCTTTTGATTTAGAGGTTTTTTTTCCCTATAACTCGTATGCCTGCTGTGTTTATGATATCCCGTTTAAGGATTTTGAAATGTTGGTGATTTTTCCTTGGAATTTACAGGGTACCATGATAAGTAGAGAAAAAACAGATTTTGATACATGTGGTTATTCCTAATCATGTCTTGCTGGTATAGTATTATTTCTTATATGCAGGATATATGTCCACAACACACTATGTTCCGAGTTCTTTGCTTGTGATAGGTGAACTAAAAAGTTTGAAGAAAAAATGTATGTTTTAAGTATATAAGATAAGATATGGAAGACAACGAAGAGCTGTATATTGGCGAGTTGCAGGACATAAAATTAAGAACAAAAAACTTGTACTTAGTTTAAGTAAAAGCATATAATCTTTGGAGACTAATATCTCAACCTCTTATACGATAGTTCTGTACACCTAACTTTCTCACGCTACCTTACCCACTTTGGCCCGGTAGCCCAGTGCATTTCCTAACTTGCTAGTTCATAGTTGTAAGGACGTGTTTAGATTAAGATTGAATAATTAATTCTTTAATTTTTAATATAAAACATACCTTTTTACAAAAACTGAGTATTTTAAATCAATTTATATATGTATTTAATCATATTAAGCAGTTTAAAAAATTAAATTTATTCAATTTAAATTAAACAGACACTAAATCATATTGTTTGTGTAATATAATGACAAAATGGTGGCAGTAAATTTTTTCCAGTACAGTCACTTTATGACTGTATCCTGGGTCCCACAATCCATTTTCATCAAAGAACGTTTGAAACATCCTAGAGCAAAACATAATGAAACGTCTTAGAGCAAGTTTTCGAGAGTTGCTTCCTAGTTCCTTGTCCTAGTTCCTTGTCTCCCTAGCGTTGTTTTATACTTTTATTGCACAGTATTACTTCTATATTTATATATGATTCCTCATTTGCTTAATTGAAATTTTGAGTTTCAGGTAAAATGGACAATTTAGAGAGAGAAAAAGCAAGTATCCAGGATTAGGTTTTTCAAGGATATCTCTGTTTGTAACTTGTAACGAAGGGTTTATGATGTTCATAAATTTTATCAGATTTTATTTAAGAGTAAAACGAAACTCAAAATAATTTTGCTAAAAAAACCATGGTAACTTCATATCTCAACTTTTGGATTAATTTCATGCGTTTATTTATTTATTTTTATAGTGGTTGTCTTATTTGGATGATGATGCTTCCACTAGACTCCATGAAGATCTTCAACTGGCTTTCCGTGAGAATATTGACTGTGCTACACAAAACAACAATTAATTAATTTCAAGCATATATACTAAACATTCCAAAATGTTGTGCAAATAATCCATCATAATTCAAAAGGCAAACCCAAATCATGGCATTCTCTTCCATTATAATAGCCCTAAACTTTAGCGAAACTCGTCTTTATATGGTTGTCCTCAAGAGTATGCTCATATAGTTACCAAGATCCCATCACAGGCTTTTCTTATTGCATAGTATTCTTTTAATGATTTGAGCACGCAAGAGATAATTAACCAATCAAGTAATGACACACCCCATGAATCTTGTTGACATTATCATGTTTTTGATAAATTAACAAGCTAGCTAAGCACAAGAACAAGTTAATCACTTGATTTTAATCACTTAATCTGAAAGACAAGTAATAAAGATTTTCAAAAACAAACATCAAGGAGGAAAGTGTGGCGGAAGCATTAGACTCAACAAATTTGTCATTATTGTAACAATCATTTTTTATGCAATGAAATTTTAAAACTGTGCAATTTGATGCCATACTTTTTTTTTTCAAGTGGCATTCAATTGCACAAATGGAATAAGAAAAGGCAGTTAGTTGTAAAATTATTTTTAAATTATAATAACTGTAAGATATTTTAATTATTTACACATTAAAAATTAGTAATATTATTAAAAGAAATAATTTTTATTACAAAAGAACTTATAACACTATATTTATAATTTTTTTTCAAGTAAACACAATACTACATATACATATTTTGTCATTTTTACTCTTAAAAAAGAGGACCAAATATTTCGCGGCTACAGAAAGAGATTATAATCTTGTGGGTCATTTGAAGTGCATGGAGGTTCACGTATTCAACTTTGGGTCTCAGAAAATAAAAACAAACGAGTTGTTGGAAAAGGACCTACACAGACAATTATATAGCCCAAGATCTGCACAAGTTACGCAGACATTGTGGAAATGATTGCGTAGTTGATGGTTTTATCATTATGATTTTTTAATATAAAAATATTATAATAAAATCTATTATTGATAGTTTAAATTAACAATGCGTACAATATTTTAAAAATCTAATTTTTTAAAAAGCCGAATGCTGCATTGCTGCACAAGCGAGTTTGATTACTCAAATATTCACAAAACCTGAAAGTCCATGCAGTGTAATGAAACAAGCAACTCAAATATTTCCACTAATATATAGAAACAACTTCAAGTCCTACCCTATATGCACGCGATTGTTTTTAAAGAAATCATTGCATTATTTTAATTGTTCCTATCATCTATAATTGACAATCATAGAAGCTTAACCAAGACTTTGTGCCATTTTAGCTACGTGTAAGAACAATGGTAACTTATGATGATATTAATACAAAAGTTTTTTCTATTCTTTATGATGACGATTATCTCCGTGAAATTAGTGCAAGGTGTTGCGATAATATTGAAATTTTATGTCCCATTTTAAGATGCTTGACCTTAATCACTAATATAGAGCAAGGTTTCAATTAATTATAATTATGTTTATCCTGTTTTCTAATGAGTTGTGATTTAAAGACAAGAAAATAAATAAAATAGGACACGATTTACAAGATCAAAGAAACAATTATTTTTGTTAGTAATATGTACATATTAATAAATTTATTTCACTATAAATATTATATATATTTTTATTCTTTGAACTCACTAAAAAATGTCATGTGTTGTTTTTTCTTTTTAAATTTGATTATATTTATTTTTATTAACTTTTCATTTATTTTATCTTTATGCTTCCTAACCTTTTGTACTTCTATTTTTTTTAATAGATTTTTTAATAATAAAATTGATATCAATTACTTTTTAAAATATGAAGACATATTATATAAAATTACACTTAACATAAATAAAAAAATATTTGATATTGTTAATAATATCAAATTACACACATAAAATACATTTCATTAAAAGTATGATATGACATAAGTATGATATGCCGTTTTCTCTCTTTTTTTAAATTCTTTTAATTTATTATTTTAATGTTTTATCTATATATTTTTAACCTTCCATACTTTTAATATTTTTATTTTTTTATTATTGTTAAATATTCTATATTCTTTTTAATAATTAAATTGATAGAAAAATAAATTTAGATACTAAATAAATATTTGATATTTTTTAATTAAATATACACATAATATAAATAAGAAATATTGGGTTCAAAATTTAGTTTCTCTATAATATACATTCACCAATAAGGTGTCTCTTAATTTAATTACCACCGACCTCATAAATTTTTGTCAATGAGAGAAGAGAAGCGAGGGGTGTAATTGTAGGTAATCAATCATTTGGCACCCAAATCAAACTCAAATATATATATATATATATATATATATATATATATATATATATATATATATATATATATATATATATAAAAGTTCCATTAGACTTATTTTGTGACTCCCCAACCAAATCACAAGCCTCACATTCCTGTCTATCATGGGAAATCCACAATCTCTACAGGGAGATTCTATCAAATACTACAAACCAAAAGATCATACACAAAAAGCAAAGGGTTTGTCCTTCTTTGCCTCAATCCTCTCTCTTATCATATACATCTCAATCTTTTATATCTTCAACCTCTCACCATATACTCTCTTCAACAACCACATCTTTTGGTTTCTCATGTCCAACAACCTCATCCTTATCATAGCTGCTGATTATGGAGCATTCTCTTCATCCAAACATAAACAAGATCTTTATGATGAAGAGCACCATGTCTCCTCATATGTCCCCAAATACCAACAAGTAGATAAAAAAAGCATCAATCCCAAGCAAGAGCTGGGCAGTGAAATGTTGATAGAGATCAACCAAGATAACATCACCAGGAATATTGAGGTGCCTGTACGTGTAATTGAAGTTGTGTCACAAAATGATCCTAAGAAACCTAGTGAAAACTCCAATGAGAAAAAGCCATTACTTAAGCTCTCATTGGAAGTAGATGAGAGTGTGGTGATTGATGAAAGTGTGAACAAGATGCGGAGGCCAAAAAGCATGAAGGTAGAAGCACAAGTAGAGGAAGAGAATGAGTTTACTACTATGACAAATGAGGAGCTTAATAGGAAAGTGGAGGAGTTCATTCAGAAATTCAACAAGCAGATTAAACTTCAGGCAAATAGAAATGTTTATCAAATTGATGAAGCCAGAGGCTTCTAAAATTTTGCTCTTTTTTAGCCTTTGGTATTTGCTTAAGGGTGGTATTTTTAATTTGAGTAATACTATATATTTAGATTTTATTTTCTCATAAAAAGTTTTACATTAAAGAGTGAGATAACAAAAGAGAAAAAACAAGCATGGATTAATAAGACGAGTAATGTGATAAAAATAAAAAAGTATTATGAAAAATTAACTTAAAGAAAGTATTATTCTTTTGATTTTGGGTCGTGTTATAACTTCTGGTAAACGATAGTTTTGTCCAAATGTTTGTATTAATTGGAACGTTGCTAAATACGTCAGTCATGTCTTCTATTTTTTCGTGTACATTTATATATTTTTGTTGGAAAATGTTTTATATATTTAAAGTGGATATTTTTTCTCTCTTCTTTAATTTAATAAAATCTTTTTTAAACAAATATATATAAAAAATAACTATACAATATATATATATATATAAGAACATGTAAGATTTTGTTATCTTTCATGTAATATTTTCTAATTTTATTTTGATTAAAAATCAAACTAAATCCATGAGTCAGACTTTTAAAGTTCACAAAAGTAAATTCTGATTAAATTTGGGATTTTATGTTCTCATTGCGGTGGAAACTTTACATTCTTAAACAAAATAACAAAATTTTAATGTAAAATTATCTTAAACCAATACACATTCAAGTGAATTTTGTTGGTTTAAATGAATTTTGTGTACCTAAGAAGAGGGAGATTAAGTGTGGAGAAAAAGGAAATTGAGTGTAGAAAAGAGGAAACCAGGAATGGGTGCAGATGGGAACAGCGGATGGTGGTGGAAGAAAGAGAAAGTAGATGAGTTGAGTATGAAGAAAAAATAGAGAGTTAGATATGGAGTAGGGTGAGGTGAGAATGAAAATAAAAAGAAAGAAAAATAAGAGCTGAAAATAGAGGTTGAAGAGAGAATATTAAATATAAAAAAAAGAAAAATTAAAAAAGAAAATACAAAATTTGCTCAAATGACTATTATAAAATTTACTTAAATATAACTTAATTATATTTTAAATATAAAATAAATGTATAACATAAAATATCATATAAATATAAAATATAAAATATATATTTAATTAAATTATATTTTAAATCACTTATAATCAATTTTTAAAGATATTTAAAAATTTGACATTGAAAATATTTATTTTAAAAAGAGTAAATAATTTATTTGAAATGATAATTTGAAAAAGAATACAAAATTATTGTTTTTGTTTGAATGGTAAAACATGATAAGTGGTTGTTTGTATACTAATTAAAATGAAAATTACATTATTACGAAGAAAAATTTTAAAAAGAAAAAAAATATTGATTATGTTAAAACTATTATCAACGTATGAACATTGAATCAGATTTTATATATATATATATATTAAATTATTAGTAAGTTCGTATTAATAATATAATATATTATATAAACAAATAATTTATTAATATAAAATTTTAATATATTATAAATATTATTACATTATTTTTAGTATAAATTTTAAAAATTAAATAAAATATTTAATTTTTGTTAAATAAAAATTATATTAACTAATGTTTGAAAAAAAAAATTTATTCCTTATATAATCTTATATTTTAATATAAAATATTTAATATTAAAAAATGACTCATGTTTATAAATAATAAATAAATTAAAAATATCTATAAAATTAAAAAGTAAAATTTATTTATAATTAAAAAAAATTAATATTTTTTAAAGAATAATTGTAACTATGAAAATTTAATTTTAAATTAATAAATAATAAAATTAATAATTTATTTAAAAAGATGTTAATATATTTATTTTTAAAATATTAAAAGCTTACAATTATTAATTTTAAAAAATATAAAATACTATTTTAAAAAATATTAATAAAAAATATATTACTTATCAAAAGATGTTAGTATTTTATATTTTTAAAAATTAATAATATTATTATATTATTTTTTTATCAAAAATATTATTTGATTACTTGTGAGAAATGAATTAAAATAAGGAACGCAAACGTGAAAAGAGAGAACGAAAACCTAATCGAAGTTCTGAGACTGAGAATTCTTGAGTTCTTGACCTGCTCCTCTCTCTCTTTCTCTAGAATTAGGGTTTTAAGTACTCTCTTCTTCTCTCTAACAAACAGGTATATTCAAAATCCCGGGTTGATAAGTCCATCTTATATCCGCATTCTCCCCCTTCTGCATTAACACTCAGTTGTCGTGTTTTCATTATTTACTTTTTTTTTTCTGCTCTCTTTTCCTTGGACTCAAATTATAGCCTTGTTTGAGGAAGGGACCATTCTGTTACAAAATTTTTGATAGTTTGTTTATCATATTTATTTAATTGACGTTTGTGGGTGCAGTTGATGATGAATCTTGCTTTATGTAATTAAGACCCCGTTTTCCCCATCTGCTGGATTTATACTCTGTTTTAATCTTCCGTGCAGGGTTTTTTGTTCAACTTTTGTTGCACTAATTTTTTGCCTTTTTGTTAGTCTTTGGCTGCGTTAATATTCCTGTTGTGATAAGTAATATATTTTTAAGTGCGCTAATTTAGGCGTAGTATTTCTATAGCTTGATTTAACTACAGAAAATGGTTAAAATTTGTAGTTTTATTTCATGTTTTTTTTTTTTAACGTGAAAAGGAAAATAAGGGAGGGAGGATGGTCAGAAACAAACAAACAAAAGTACATTTTGCACTGGTTATGTGTATCTCTAAAAGTCTGTTTTGCTTTCAGGAGTTGTGTGATACTTTATTAAATGGGTGAGACTGGAAAACGGTTTCATTCACAGAGAGACCATGATGGGGACAGGAAAAATCAAAAGAGACGTGTGAATGACAGAGATGACAAGGGCAATGATGAGTTGATTGTTTATAGGATACTCTGCCCGGATGAAGTTATTGGGAGTGTTATTGGAAAGAATGGGAAAGTGATAAATTCTATAAGGCAAGAAACCAGGGCAAAAGTCAAGGTTGTGGATCCATTTCCTGGTGCCAAGGATCGGGTTATAACAATCTACTGCTATGTTAAGGAGAAGGAAGAAGTTGAGATTGATGATGAGTTCACTGATAACAAACCTTTATGTGCCGCTCAAGATGCTCTTCTCAAGGTTCATGTTGCCATCATCAATTCCATAGCAGCTGTTGGAGACTCTGAGAAGAAATGGAAGGATAAAGATGAATGTCAAATTCTTGTTCCATCAAGCCAGTCTGCAAATATCATTGGTAAGGCTGGGGCTACCATTAAAAAACTGAGAAGTAAGACTAGAGCTAATATCAAGGTTACCGCCAAGGATGCAGCTGACCCAACACACTCATGTGCTATGGAGTTTGATAATTTTGTCATGGTTAGTATATTCAATACTATGAAACTTGCCATTGAATGATTGATTGCTTAGGTTTCATAATAACTTCTCTGATTAAAATACTAGCATCTACTCCACTCACTGCCACAGGCGAATATTAAATATTTATTTTAGGAACAATGTACTGGTATACTTAATTTGCATAAATGGCTATACAATTTGTCTTTCTATCTGTAAACATTTAACATATAATATTTGTGATTTTGTGCTGACTAATGTGTATGCGTTCTTATTTTTTCACACTTGTGTGCAACTGTGCATCTTGATATGCCATCTGTAAACAATGCATTTTGAGAACTTTAAGTTGTTATCCTGTATCGCATCCTGGATTCTTCTTCCTCAAAATATCATCTTTGCAAGAGTAACCCATGGCTTCTTGTTGAAACATATGCTTTGTCTGAAAGAAGCGAAGGAATGTTCTGGTTGTTCAGACAGTAATGGAATTTGCAACCCCAAACAGGTGTATTAAACGAGGAAGGTTAAAGTTTCTATCTTTTCTATTTGTTTCTCAAATCCTCTACTCTACATTCTCACCGTAAATATCAACAGTGGCAAATAGTGCCTTTATCTCACCATAGTTGAGTGCAATGGCTGCTAGCTGCTGCAGGGAACTCATAGCATTGTATTTTTGTGTTGCACTAATTGAAGCTGATAATTGCAGTGTATGACTTGAAAATGATGCTGAATAGTGCTATTATTCCCTGTTTGCGTCTCATTCTCTACATTTTTGGCCAAACCCTGATAGGCCATTCATATTCCGGCCAACCTTATCCATTTTCTGATCCACATTAACCAAACCATTTTTCTGTCCTCTTCTTTTTTAATATATTCTTTTGGTGTCTTGTCTGACACATTAATATTCAAGTACCATACTGACATGTGTATATTACATGGCTGGTGGAAGAATAAACTACAATGGTAGAAAATAACAAGTAAACTAAAATTCAACTACATATAGTGGTCCTGGTGAAAGAATTATTTCCATTTGTGAATCATTACATGCGCATGGTGGATAAAATACTAGTAATTAGCTATATAACATATTTGTTAGAGTCATAGCACTAGGTCCTTATTCCCTTGTGGGATTCTTGCTTAAATCATTGATGAATAATTCATTATGAATATTTGAATGACCCCTGACATTGTAGGATAACCACCTTGTCAAGGAACTTTCCCAAAGGTATATGTGCGACTCATTAACTCAAAGGATAAGAAAGAAAACAATGTTTCAAGTATTTAAGAATACAATATATTTCTGCACTGTTCACTACCATTGGAAAATTCCATGATGTTTATAGTGTGCTTTATGCTATGTATTAATTTATGGTGCAAATTCTAGCACTGCAATTGGTAGCTAATTGATGCACATTTACATGACATGATTGCATTCATGACTTTGGTGGACCATCTTAAGAAGCCACCCACATAGTGGTAGAAAATCAATAATCTATTTGGATGCTGGAATCCTTGATTTTGGTTAAACTCTTAAAGCTAATTGTATTTCAAGTTTAATGGCAATTTCTATATCTTTTATAATGTTTTTACTCAGAATTTGCAGTAAAATTATATCTTACTGGATTTTTGCTTTTGCTGTGAGTAGATTGCCGGTGAATCAGAAGCAGTTAAAAAAGCACTATTTGCCGTTTCTTCTATTATGTACAAGTTTGGTCCCAGGGAAGACATCTCTCTTGACACAACTGTACCAGAAGCCCCACCCAGTATTATCATTCCCTCAGAAGTTCCAATTTATCCTCCTGGTGGACTATTTCCAGCTTCAGATCCTATTATCCCACCTAGAGCTGTTCCTCAAATTTTAGGTGCTACAAACGTACAAGATTTGCAAGGTTATGCCGATGCAGGAAATACATGGCCCCTGTACTCATCTTCCCTTCCAGTTACTTCTAGTGTTGGTGCTTCCCGATCTGAGGAGTTAATTGTTAGAATGCTATGTCCCTCAGACAAGATTGGGCGTGTCATTGGAAAGGGAGGGAGTACAATCAAAAGTATGAGGCAGGCTAGTGGTGCTCGTATTGAGGTTGATGATTCCAAGGCTAATCATGATGAGTGTTTAATCATTATAACTACCACAGAGGTGCACTGTCTTGACTTCTTCAGTTCTTCCATATTTTTTTCTATAAAATTAAATTGCTGATTCAATAATTGTTGGAGGTATTATTCGTAGAGTCCATGATGTATCCTAGTGTGTTTTTGATGAATTTTGCTTCCAGAATGTTTTTAATCAAAATATTGGGGAGCTTTGGACTGAAACTTTTTGAGTGCTAATTGCAAAATAATCAAAGCCATGTAGGTTAATATTCAGCTGGAAAGCTTTGACATTTACTAGTCATCAAGGATTTTTTTGGTTATTTTTGTGAAAATATTTCTCAGAATTATATGCAAGAATAAGAGAAAGGAAAAATTATTTAAAACTTGATTATTAAAACGAAGAATTGATTGTCATTTAACACTTTTCATGTTATTCTGTTAAAGTTAAAATTCGCCAATTTCATTGTCAGCACATGTGGATAGTTAGTTATTGAGCATTCTGTGAGGTTGCAGTCAAGTATACAGTTTCTGTATGAGTTTTTTGTGCTGTGAAGTAATTTTTCCTGTAGGTTGTTCAGGTGTACAAGTAAATAATTTTAGCATCCTAGTTTGTTTTTTTTTTTTTACACAACTTTTTCATATTGTTCAATTTCATGATCAATTTATGTTTGATTTACTAGTTAGTGGACTGTGTTTTCTCTCATTCTCTTTACTCTGAATGTAATTATCGTTTTCCAAAACGTATTGATTATGTAGTTTTCCATTTATCATAAAATGGAAACTGATCAATTTGTGGATGTTGTTTTGTAGTCGCCTAGTGATCTGAAGTCCATGGCAGTTGAAGCTGTTCTGCTGATGCAAGGAAAGATAAATGATGATGATGATACTACTGTTTCAATCCGGCTTCTAGTTCCATCCAAAGTGATAGGTTGTATTATTGGTAAAAGTGGTTCAATCATAAATGAAATTCGGAAGAGAACTAAGGCTGATGTTCGAATCACTAAAGGCGATAAGCCAAAATGTGCAGATGTGAATGATGAACTTGTTGAGGTTGGACCTATTTTTCCCCCACTTTTATTGTCAACACTATCAGCAATTCTATTTGGTATGAAAGATTTTATACAAAAGTTATGAATTCTCAAACACCAATCATGTTTGGGGAGAGATAGAAAGAATGTTAAAAATTAAATGGGTAGCTGACAAAAAGTTTTTGTTTTCACTTATTTTTGTTCACGAGTTGTTTGATGAAATCCCATGCATACAACTTAGTATTATTCATATTTAGTTGATTCAATTTTCTTTTGGATTTAGGTGGGTGGATCAGTTGATTGTGTGAGAGATGCACTAATCCAGATTATCTTAAGACTCAGAGATGATGTATTGAGAGAAAGGGATACTAGCCATAATTCTTCTATAGGTGCTGAATCCTTGTATTCAGGTAGTGCTGGTCTTTCATTGCCACCTGTGCTGCCTTCAGTTCCTCCCGTTGCTGCTCCGTTGGTTTATGACCAGAGGGCTGAAAGTGGCGCTGGACTAGGCATGCTTTCTTCAAGCAGCCTGTATGGATATGGATCTTTGTCGGTATGTCTTGTTTTTTCTTGCCTTATGGTCATTTTATAACTAATTTTTGTTTTCAAATAAAAGATTGAAAAAGTAAACCAGTTCTATATACTGCATTAGATGAACTTATGAATATATAATAGAAAATTTCAAGTGGAAAAATTGTTTATTTTTGTTCTATTTTTCCTTTTTTTTATTTTGTTATGGAGGATCCCCTTATCCTCCAACTTCCTTGTTTGCTAAGAATTGAACATTTTATGGTTAATGCATCTGTTGATTAATTATATTCTTTTGAAAATATGATTATAAATATGGAAAGTTTCCTTTTGTATATGTTGAAATTATGGGGTTTAGGTTGTACAAGAGGAATGGAGATTAGTGATACTCTAAATAATAAGAAAGGATTAGATTGAAATGGGATGTGTTATAATACGAAGCCCTAACACCTATTTATACGTAGGCCAACTTGCCAATTACTGGTATGTCCTACTTGTACAAGCGTAAAAGTCCAAAAGGATTACTAACAGCACAAGACTCCGGACATTAAGAATCCTAACCTTTAAGGCTGTGACATATATTTAAAAGGGGGGATTTTATAAAGATACAAAATTTGATTGTATGAGATGAACTCCATAGTTGTGTACTTGTACGGTATATCCTCTATTCATTCCTTATTCATTTGGGTTTGAATGTAGTGTTTTATGAAGTTATGAGTTTCGTTATTTTGGTGAAGTAGATGAAGTGATTAACATTGATGGATATCTTATTTCTTTTTATTTTATTTTTGGGTGGAGGATGGGATGGAGGGATTGTTAAGATGGTTTCATAGAACTGTTCTCTTGATTATCCTTCCCTTTTGCTCTGCATGGAGCACCTCTTTTTCTAGTGCAAAATGCTAACAAACAGCTTTCATCTTGTATATTCTTATTTATTTTCTTGCATGTCTATTCCAATTTTATTTTCTAGTATGCCACTAATATTTTCTGTTTGATTCTATGTAATAGATGGGAGAAAATGGCTATGGACCTATGTCCTCATATGCTGCAAAGCTGTATGGAGGGTTAGTATCTATTTTTATTAAAATTATGCGAATACTTTACAATTGATTCAGTGTTTGTTTGGATTGGAATATGCAAAATTGATTTCCATTGAACATGGTTTGGTAAAACTAGGTCTAAAATGGAGTGATTTATACTCGGATGCCATTATATTGGAAGTGATATTATGGTTATAGACATTGCAATCCAACATAATAGCATCAGTGACACACACTGAAAATGTGGTTTTAGAATTGCATTTCATTAGACACTCTCCAGCTTGACTTTTGCCATACTTGTTGAATTGAGCATGAAACTGTATCCTCTAAATGTGGGTTTGGGCCCAATCAATCATGCATTCCCTTTTTTACTTTCCTCAAGTGTATATTAAATTGGTTGGCTTATGTGTTTGTACTCTTATTGTGCACAGTTTACCTCCCCCGTCAACTTTGGATATGTTGATTCCTGCTAATGCTGTTGGTAAAGTGTTGGGTAAAGGAGGGGCAAATATAGCCAACATCAGGAAGGTTGGTACCCTCATTCTGAATTTCTTAAAATTCTATTGCAAGGGGAACTAATTAATGGTGTGAAATGCATCTTTTTTCCCCCCTCAATAAGGTTTGGTTGTTGCTGATGTATGTCATTCTCACTGTGTAGCTTTTGTGAGCTTAAAAGAATTATTAATCTTAAGTGGATCAAATATCCTCATTTACAATGATGAAGTCTGAATGGTTTTGCTGAATCTCTGGCTGATTGATCAATATAACCTTCTAACCTAGAAGAAGGATAGGGCTAGGTGGTGGTTGTATTAATAATTTCTTATGTTATCTTAAATTCAGTTCTTGGTGGTTAGTGAATTTTTTATTGCTTGCTTAGTTAAATTGCTACTTCTTAGTCCAGTTTTTCAAAGGAAGGTAAGAAATTCCCTATTTTTTTTATATCAAGTGATTGGATGGAAACAATTTGTGATGAAACTAATTAGAAAAAACAGGTTAGAGATTCTCTAGTCTTTGATCAATGATGTTTTTCAGTTTTTGACATTTGTTAGGCGATATTATCATTTTGTCAGATGTCATCTGATGAGGTCCTTCCATGCGAACCTTTTTTTGAATGTTTTCTTTTTCTTATGGTATTTTATCCATGAGTATACAATAAAACTTGTATTTGTAGTTATGTACCTTCTCTTGGCTTTATGTCAAGGGCTAGACTAGCTAGCATAATCAAGTTTGTTTGACTTGGCTTATGATGAAATACCAATTTTTTTATTCTTCTATACCCTGATATGTATTGATAAAACTAACGCAAAATTTGCTTCTTTTGATGCCTTTTTTGGGTCTGACATTTGATGTCCTTTTAATGCCTTTGTTTTACACCAGATTTCAGGAGCAACGATAGAGATTTCTGACTCCAAATCTGCCCGTGGCGATCGAATTGCCCTTATATCTGGCACACCTGAACAAAAGCGTGCTGCTGAAAACTTGATCCAGGCATTTATCATGGCAACCTGAATATTGAAGTTGTTCCTGGAGGTTTTTGAAGGTGAAAAGTTTAATTCTTGAAGCATGTCCTTCTTCCTCTCCTTAGTCCCATTAGGTTGGTCCTGGAGAGACAATGTTCTCTAGGTTCTTCAGCTTGATTCCTGCTTCTTCCAAAACAGTGGCTAACAAGATCGTGCTCGAGGATCCATTACTGGTTTTGTATGTAGGAATTATAGTTCCTTTCCTTTTTCTTCCCCTTAATCAACTCTTTCATCTGGGTTGTCATAGAAATCTAGGATCTCTCTGTCCTTTCATAATGTTAGTCTCTGACTAGTGTGGAGTCATCTCTATCTCCATAAAATATTCGGTGGAATCATTAAGCTGTGTTTATTATGTTTCTGTTGGTTCTTCCTCTTATTCTCCTTTCTTGCTGAAAGTATCTGCCCTGTTGATGCAAATGAGAGGCTGAATCTCTAGTCTGAACTTTCTAGTATCCTTGGTTATCCAAGTAATTTAGTCAAAACCGGGGAAGTTCTCATGAATTCAAAGGATTTCTGAATACTCTGGATAATATTCTTCCCTCTGATTCTATTTCCATATCTTGGAACTCTGTCATACATGAGGGCAATTACAACTAGATATAACTCTAATTATCACGCCGAACGAGATTCATTATATACAAAAAAATAAAATTGCTAGAAGCCAGAGTTTTTTTTTGTCATTAAATAAAAATAATCATTAAGACACAGAATATAAATACAGAGGTAGGAGATACAGCTTCCTCCTCTATAAAGAAAACACAAGACATCAAAGAACAAAGTATCATGAGTTGACATGGTTGAGTGGTCTCCTACCACTGTCTTATCCAACAATTGTGAGAATTCTAGAAAAATCTTTTTGGCTGTGTAGCACTATTCATACTTATTATCGGAATCGCCTCTGGAATTTATATCATTGTGTACGGGCTTTTCATTTCTTATCTGTCTTATGATGGATGCCACTCGCAAGAAATTATTTGCTGACCTGGGTCGGCTTTGCGCTGGCCACTAGATGTCGCCAGTGGGTTTTGAACCCTGCACTGGAGGTAAAGTTCACTCGCATGGAGTTCAGTTTGTTAGCTGAGTCGCGCCTCAGTGGTTGCCATCTTTGTCATATTTTAAAGTAGCAATCCTTCTCCTCCAATATGATGCAAAATGATTTCATTGGATCTCCTAAATTCTATGAGGGGTGGCTTTTGAATTCATATTATGATCTGTCTGCCTTATTTGTTGTCCTGTTTGCAGCATAACAATAAGTATTCCAACTGAGTTTGGGTTATAGTCATGAAGTTTTGGTGACACGGATAATATCCTGCTCTATATTTAGTGATTTTCACCCTAGTAAAAATTAAAATCTTGGGCAAAAGCTTGTCATTATAAGACTAATTATAGGATGCAATAGATCATCTTATTTCATTTCTCTCGTATCCGTATTGCCATCTTTTAAGGAAACATTGTCTCGTCCGTATTAATTGTTGCCTCTTCTATTTTTCAGATGTGATAAACCCTTTTTCTACTTTTCTTTCTATTACATGCAATTAATTTACATAATGTCAAAATTATGCTTTCCCTAGCAAATTGTGAAGTACAGATTTTCTTAATTTTGCTTGGTCATCTACTTATATTTAACTCTCCCCGTAATCAACTGAGCATAATTATGCCCGGTATAATAATTTTTCAACCTTTTAAAGGATATACTAATATTCATGTGGACTAATTCTCCTGAGCTCGCCCACATACTTTTTTTTTGGGTCAAAAGCTCGCCTACAACTTCCAAAGAGTATAATCTCTATTCTTGATCGTGAGATAACTGCGAATTCTTTTCTCACAACCTTTGATTATTGAGCTATCATTCTAATTAGTAAGGATGTCTTGGTCTAGTTTGACTTTTGGTCAGTGAATCGTTGGTTTTTAGTAGATATAATGTAAGCTTCGATTATGTCCTGCACTCGGACATTCCATCTTGGAGATGAATCTGCGTCGTATTATATCCTTGTGGACAGTATTGTTCAACGGGGGCATGCGCATTCTGAAAGCTAATCGTAGTAAACTAGTTTTTTTTTTGTTACTTGTATATAAATTTGCTTTTATGATGCACATTAAGGAGTTTAGGCAGGTGTCCATTGTAAATATAGCTTCATGACAGTTGCTGCGATGCATTCGTTTAAGTTTTTATAGTAAATTGGATTCATCTTTTTAATTGGTACATATTAGGGCAATGATCATTCTGATTTTACATTATTTTGTGGCCATATGCCCAATATTGATTTAAGCTATTCAATTAAATTCAACCGTTCGTCGCAAATTATTATATATAGTAATTACTACCAAGTGTTATTGACGTTTGAAATAACTGAAAAACAAAGGCAGATGTTTCATATGGAACGTAAAAAGGGGAGTTTTTATTTCAGAATGTTATTGTACATACATTCACAATGGAAAAAAAAAACTATAGTGGAAAGACTCGTCTGGGTGGTACTGAAATTTAACATTTATCATTTTTATTGAAATTCTACGCGAGTTTTAATAGTCTACTTTTATTTTCATTAACAAAGTCAACGTCAAATTTTAGTAATAAAATAGTTGAGGAGGTCGAAAAAGTTCATTATTTATGATAGTGTAAATTAGTTGAGTTATTTAAAAATTATTTTAGTTTGGCCAATTAAATGTTGGATTAAGCTCATTTCTTTAGTTAAATAAGTTTAAGCTTAAAATTAAGCTTGATTATCTATATGAATCAAGTTTTTTAGGATTGACATTAATACTTTGTGATTTGTTGTATAACCGTTAGTCCAAAGGGTGGGGGTGCACACGAATCAGTGTTTCACTATTGTTCAAGTCAACATCTCCATCTCCAAGATGTAGTAATCGAGTTGGGGGCAATTGTTTTGGACCAATGTGAGGTCCAAGTCGAATTAAGTGAATTGGGTCAGGGCTCTTAACTCTACTCCCACACGCTCGTATCTTTATCAATGTTTTGACGGAGTTCTTCTTCCAAGCAACAAAACGAGGGTAGGCATGGATGATGTAGCAAATGCTCGATTTGGGTCCACTGGTTAACACCTATGCTTATTATATATAATACAGAACATATCCTTATTCATAATGCAGTGCGATAAGTGGAAATCCAACTTAGAACGCAAGTGCACTAGCCTGGCAATTGTATGATTTATACGTGTACGCAATCTGATGCCCAAAAAATGAGTGCCATAAAAATGATAATATAAAAAATATATATATTGAGTGGGTTTTCTGTATATAAATAATAACAACTACATTTAGTAAGGGTTACGAATAATGATCAAAGAGACTGGACAAATCTAGATCTTTTAGTCTAATGTATTTTTAATTATCAAATGAAGCCTATATATTAAATAATTTTATTTTTTGAAATTGTATTTTTTTATTTAATGTTTTTATGAAATATAACAGAATATTGACACAGATTTAGTGGAACAACGGTGTGTAGTTCTGATTGCTGACGGTGTATTATTTATTTTAGGCAGTTTTTGAAAATATGGAATTGGAAATGAAGATCCAGACATGAAACTGTCGTTATCGAAGAACGATATGTGGGAGTTTGAGGCTGTAAGATAAGCTTTGAAAGTGGTGCGAAAACGATCGACGCCGCACATGCAGTGGCATCAATCATAATCTTTTCCCATAAATTTCAATTTTTAAACCTTCTGCTTCTGCGTACATATAAAGATATTTAAAATTAAATTAAAAAATAGTGAAAAAGTAAGTTTAAAAATGATTTGAAACGAAAAAAATATTAAAGATAATAAAAAAGAATTTTTATTTAATGGATAATTATGTTTTATTAAAATGTGAAACTATAAATAAATATTAACATCAACTTTAAAAATTAATTTCAAACATTAAAAATGATAAATTTTTAATAAAAATAATAAATTATAAGAGTATTTAAAATATATATATAATTTCTCTCTCTATTTTTTCACCTATTTCTCTCTTTTCAAATACAAAGATTTTCTAATTTCTCACTTATTCCTTTATATATATATCGGTATTTATTATGAAAATACTAAATAACAAAAATATTATACCTAAATTATAATTTTAATTTTTTAACAAAATTTTAGATATCGTAAGATGTAATAAATGTATTAAGATTAAATGCAATTTTTTAGTATATGAAAAAATTAATCTAATCTTTACATATAAAATCATTTTGAATTTGATTTCTTCTGTCCCTATTAAATTGATGATACGTTGACAGATAAAATTAACTTCTTTACAAAAAAAGAAGAAGATAAAATTAACTTTAAAAATAAATATTATGTAAAGATATTTAATTTGATATTTAAATATTATATTTATTATTTATTACAAAGCACAATCAGATAAAGAGCATGTTTATGTTGGGTTGCAATTTTCAGAACACACTTTGATCTCACATCCCAAGTAAATTTGAGGAACCTGTTTCTCATCAATGGCTACCGTGCGATCAATACAGTGTTTGTTACGAAGGGTTTGCAGAGACAGAGGAAGTAGGAATTTCGGGGTTGCCTCAGAACTCAATGCTTCTTCGTCTTCCCAGACAATCATCGACAAGGAACATGAACACAGTGCTCACAAGTGCGTTTTTCTTTCTTTCCGTATCTAGACCCACCCCATGTGTTGCTACACCCCAAAGACAATATTTTGGATTCTGGGTTGTTCTTATTTTCTATTGATTCTAACCTTAGTATTCAAACCTGATGATATTGTCCCACTTTGATTGGGTTAAACATTGGTACGTTGAATGGATGGTAAGAGTTTATGAATCATGCATTGGGATGTTTAAAGTTTGAATTGTACCAAAAAAAAGTATAAATCATAAAACTAATCATGAGCAGTAAGTTGAGTGTGCCCTCCATAAATTGCACTTCAATGTATCATGGTGTTTAGCATCAAACAATACCAGTTGGCTGTAGCACTCTGCCAATTCAATAAATTTTGTGTTTTCTGTTTTCTCTTGAACTTTCTTTATGTGTGGAGTGTTCTGAAAACGCTCTCCGTTGGTAAATAATTTAAATTCGTCCCTCATGAACATTTTAACAGAGAAAAAGGATGATGAGGATTTGCTATTTCTTGGGTGTGAACTTACCTCTTCTACTGGCTTTTCTTTTTACACTTTTCATTTGTATAGTTGTCAACGGGTTTGATTTATTGTTTTGGGTCAAATATTGAAATGATATTTCCTGTTTCAAATGTAGTTACCATCCAATTCCCATTGTATTTTCTCAAGCAAAGGGAGCCTCTGTATGGGATCCAGAGGGAAACAAATATCTTGATTTTCTGTCTGGTTACTCTGCTGTTAACCAGGTAATATATAGATTTAGATTGTTTTATATACATTTTTTTGGTTTCCTTTGTGGAGTCAGTTTATTGCTGTGTCCAAATTTCTTCTACCGTTGGTACTATTTTTCCTTTTCTTCCTCAAATTTTAGGATAAGAAAATATGGAATTTCTAATGATTTAAGTGTTTTCATTTTGCCTTAGGGACATTGCCATCCTAAAATTCTGAAAGCATTACAAGAACAGGTAGAAAGGCTGACTGTGAGCTCTCGAGCTTTCTATAATGATCGCTTTCCAGTCTTTGCCGAGTATGTGACAACCATGTTTGGCTATGATATGGTACTTCCTATGAACACTGGTGCTGAAGGTGTGGAAACAGCTATGAAACTAGCACGAAAGTGGGGTTATGAAAAGAAAAGAATTCCCAAAGATGAGGTATAACTGTGAGAATACTATTATGTAAGGATTCTTCTAAGTTGAAAACCAGAATATTTGATGAATCTAATTTTCTATGATAATTTTTTTTCTGTGGAATGCTTAGGCATCTGTTTATGCAAACTAGATGCATCTGAGATTTATAATTCACAGATCTTTATGCCTAAACGTATGGTATTCTTCCAGTGTAAAATGAAAATGTAGGATGTTTATTCCATCATCCTCTTTTCTGTTTTATATGATGTAGGAAGTTTTACAATTTATATTTTTCTAATATTTGTTGTCTGGCCATAATCTCAGGAATTTACTATTCAATTTGATAGCCTGAAAGTTATTTTGCTATATTTGAGCACAAACATCTGTCCTTTATTGCTATTCTATTTTGCTTAATCCTTTTATGAGAATCAGTTCAATTGTGTAATCATATAAATCTTTTTATTCATGAATACTCGACCCAGGCAATTATTGTCTCATGCTGTGGCTGCTTCCATGGTCGTACACTAGGCGTCATATCTATGAGCTGTGACAATGAAGCTACCCATGGTTTTGGTCCTTTACTGCCTGGCCTTCTTAAAGTAGATTTTGGTGATGCAGAAGCGTTAGAGAAAATTTTTAAAGGTTCTGTGCTATGCCATATAGTTTTTCCTTCTTATCACTTATCTTTATACAGATCTTTGAAGTTTACTATGAGTTTTCTCTTTGATGAACTGCAGAAAATGGAGAACGCATAGCTGCATTTATTTTAGAACCTATCCAAGGTGAAGCTGGGGTATGTTTTATGAGAGTACATATTTAATCAGCTTGGCAACACTGAATAGGTTGATTGAATTGAAATTTGGAGAAAGTTGCTACATACCCCTCTCTTTCTCTAACCTGTTTAATGATAGTAGATCTTAGAGTAAAGGCTGATATGTAAGTTTTCAATTAATATTTTTCCGGGTTGCATGTTTTAGTACAATACATAATGCATGTCTAGAATGGAAAATTGCTACAGTAATTTTGACATTTTCATTTTACATGGATAGTAAATAAAAAATGCATACAACAAAATCTTTATTCAATGATATGTTTTATGAAAGGATAATCTACCAACGTTAAAAAGTTCCTTTGCTTGATATACCATGTAGAACGTGCCTAATGGTTTATATTTTGAAAAATTTTCACCCTTTTGTAGGTATTCCTCAGTGTACTGTTTTTGAATTTCTGTCTTTCTTTCATTGTATGTTTTGTTTTTCATGAAGGGATATATTAGTTTTCTTGCAAAAGTTGTAAAATATTCTGTATGTGCTTTGATGATACATTGTTACTTGTCCTTTTTTTATACAAGCAATATGAACTGACATTTTATATATATTTTGGTCGTTTTTTGGTTTATTCTTGCCACTCCATCTTTAACTGTCTTTCTTTCCTAATCTAATTTAATGATTTTTTTTTAATTATAATCTGTCAAGCTGGTTTTATTCTATTTAGTGTATAATGTTTTGAAAAATATGTACTCCTTATAGCTTGTATAAATTCTTTGGATTCAGTTTTTTTAGATGGAAAACTTCTCTGACACCCTCATATATCAACATTCTGTAAACAATTTTTTATTCTATTTTTACTTGAAGTATATCATCTTCTCTACATTCGATTAATATATGATAATTTTTGTTTAAAGGTAATAATTCCTCCAGATGGTTATTTAAAAGCTGTTAGAGACCTTTGCTCCAAATATAACATCTTGATGATTGCTGATGAAATACAAACTGGGTTAGGAAGAACAGGGAAGATGCTGGCTTGTGAGTGGGAAGAAGTTCGCCCAGATGTATTGGTTAGAAATCACCTTGACCTCTTTTGTACAGCATATCTCTGGATTCATCTCTGGAACTATGATATAAACATTATCCCGTGGTCATATGGTTAACAAAGTCAATAGGCGATTCTTATTGCAAATTTGATTATCACGCTTTAATAATTTAGGTCCAGGGATGCCTTTATAAGCAATGATGAATTATGGAGTTAAACTTCAAATTAAAACAACATGGCAAGAAAAATTCATGCTTCCTGTAACCATATGATGTCATTCTTTGTAATGCTTGTGCCTTTTGTGTTTGACTTGTCAAATAGACAATATCATGTTCAGATAGGTTTTCAATACTTTTAATAAAAGAAAGTTACTTCATGGCAGAAAATCTTTTGGCCATATGCTACTGGTCAAAATCTATCCAGTTTTTCCTTCAACTCCAATAAATATATGTTTTATAGTCATAGAGAGTAGAATTATTATTTCAATTTGCAAGTATTATGTTGGGTTAGATGCATTCAACTACCTTCCACTTGAGAGACTTGACTGTCCAACTTTATGTTTTCTTTCAAGAAAATGAGAAATATATGGCCTCTGCTGCAAAGTGAAAAACTCCCCTTCTTTTTTATTTTGTCACCTTTATTGAGGTTCCATTTCCTTTTTATTCCACCATGCATAGAGTAACTGTTTCTAACTATCTTTTTACTCAGGTCCTAGGGAAAGCTTTGGGTGGTGGGGTTGTACCAGTTAGTGCAGTTCTTGCTGACAAAGATGTGATGCTTTGTATAAAACCTGGACAGCATGGAAGGTTTTGTTTTTATTATAAATTAATGTCTTTTTTAATCTGCTTCGTTTGTTTAGCATTTTCTTGCCTATGGTTGTCAAGCTTATGAAGTTATGTTGGGCATCTGTTTCCATCCTTTAAATCCCTTTATTAGTCAGATGATGTGAAGTGACAGAACTCTCCCTTCTGTCGGAACCCACGGTTCTTACAATATATATATATATATATATATTTTTTTTGAGGGGGGGGTCGATATGATACTTTCATTCAAGTTGGTATGAATAATTGGAAGGGTTTTGGAAAGGTCTACTCATTATGAAAATATGAAATAGAGTTGTTAAACCCTGTATTGATGGCTGTGTGCATATCTTGAAATGACAGGAAGTTTAATATTTACATGTTTGAGGAGCAAACGGATGAATTTGATAGGATCATGGGACTAAATTAGACTACTGCATTTGCAGAAGCTATTAGTGAACAGAACCGTTTATAATTGTAAAACAGTTGATAAGATGTTCTACCACATGGTAAATTCCCATAAGTGACAGCTTTGGACTTTGTAGCTGATGATACTTATGAGTTATGAACACTGGCATGGTCATTCATATTTAACTAATATGTGCTTCAAGGATGCTAAAATCATTCCTATTTGGTGGAAGTTCTCCAGGTTAATAAATCAATTCACACAGCCCGTGATTTTCTTATTAAATTGATTTCTTCATTTAAAACCTTTCAAGTGTTATTTATTTTAAGAAATTATCCATCCTGACTAATAACAAAATTTTGCTTTTAGTTTTGCATTTATTCTTTTTTATGTAATTAGCCAATAATTTCATTACCATAAAATTCAATGTTATTAAAGTGTCATGCTAAGACTTATAGTGCTGAAGCTTTTTTCTTCTGTGTTATTGTTATGTTCACAGTACCTTTGGGGGAAATCCGTTGGCTAGTGCAGTTGCAATTGCCTCACTAGAAGTGATCAAAGATGAGAGGCTCGTTGAGAGGTACCAAATGCATTGGAAAATCTTATATTATCAATATATACTTAGACAAGTACCTGGGTTCTGGTAGTTGGATAATTGTATGAAATATGATCTTATTCTTATCTTTGGGTATATTTATTTACTGATGATTAAGAATTTGTCTCTCTGGTTCAAATCCCATTTTTTCTTATCAAATCCTTTCTTTGTTTTTTTAGGACCATGAAATTCTATCATGTCTAAACTATGTCTTCTTAGGATGTCCTGTGTTAGGGACTTTTATCAAATATCCAAAATATTTGCCCTTCCGACAGCACCTATTTTTGTTTATGATCCTCAACCTTTCCCCCAAAATTATCCCTAACTCTATACAATAGCAGACCTTGCTCAGTCATTTATTTGTATTTTCAGTCCTTGTATTTTCTAATTTCATTCTATTTATAAGTTTCAGATCATGTTTAGAAACCTTCATGAGGGCATGGTGTTTATAAGTTACTACTCCTTGCAAAAAAGAATGTTCATTGAAGACACTAAATAATGCAACAAGTTTTGGAGAGCTCGAGGCAAAACTTATTTGCCGAGAAAATTTAAGCGTAGGGAATGAACAATTCTTTCTATGCTCTTTAACTTTCTATATAGTTACTCCCCTCAAAACTTAAATTACAGGGCTTATGTTCATCAACTTATGTTTTAATTTTTACTTGGCTTTTCTAGATCATACATGCCATTTAACTCAGTCAAAAACTAAATTTTTAGAAATTTGGTTAATCAAAAAGTCTCTTTTGAAAACCAAATTAACTTGAATCCATTCAAATGTTAAAATTGCAAACTTCAGAAGCTATATTAGTTTGGTTCATTTATTATGTGAATTTTTCTCTTTGGGAAATTAATATATCTGAAATTAGCGTATTACTATTGAGCAGATCTGCCAAAATGGGCGAGGAGCTTATTCGTCAGCTGCTTAAGATTCAGCAGCAATACCCAAACTATGTGAAGGAGGTCCGGGGAAGAGGATTATTCATTGGAGTGGAGCTTAACGACACAAATTTGTTCCCTGTATCAGGCTTTGAGCTAAGTCAAAAACTGAAGGATAGAGGAGTCCTTGCCAAGTCAACACATGATACAAGTATCCGTTTTACTCCCCCACTTTGCATAAGGTAAGTTATGAAAATGAAAAGCAATGTCTGTATAGTAAGCCATCATATTATAGTATGTTGAGTAGTTAAAGTTTTGCCTCTTTGAAAGTATTGGCTCATATAAGAATAATTCTTATAAATGAAGATTTGACTACAGTGTAATCTACATTTTACTGATGCTAAACTGTCCTGAATAATAGAAAAACACACTGCAACCCTAGTTTAAAAAGGGAGAGAGAAAAAGAAACTTTGCAGATAAGTAAAGAAAAAATTAGATTAATAAATGGTTGACTTGAGGAGGGGGTGTGTTGGAGGCAACAAGGGTTCTTTCTTACCTTTAAAATGGCAGAATAAGCTTTGCAAAACTGATCTTACATGTGACTGTTTCAATTTTTTTCCCCCTTTTTTTTAATTCAATTTGCTTATTTCTCAAGCTAACTGCATTACATATTGATGCTTAGCTGAATGGCTAAGCAAATGATCTATATGGATTAAGGTTACATTAACAGAAGATGGCTGAAAAGCTCTGTTCAATTTGTTCTTTGATGTAATTTATTATTTTTTGTTGATTCAGGCATGGGACAATATTTTAACTTAGTTGAAGTATAGTTTTGTCTCACCCCAGCTAATAGTTGTCGTTTCTGTTTATAGCTTTGTGATTTTTGCCAATCATCATCGTCACAAGTTTCATGATTTCTTCATCATTCTTGGTTTGTTGCAAACACGCTAGTAATATTCCAATGACCATGTTCTATTGCTGGTAAAATTAACTTCTATTCAACACCTCAACTTTAGCATTGATAGATCCTAGAAGTTCTGAACTTGAAAGATCAGAAACAGCTAGATTTTCAAATTTCAAGCTAGTAAAAGCTAAGGTTTTGTAAGAAGACTCTTCAAACATTTACAACAACAACCAAGTCTTATCTCACTTGGTAAGGTCAGATACATGAATCATATGATACCATTGAACTCAATTAAAAACCAAATTTTCAGAAATTTGATTAATTAAAAGGTCTTCAAACATTTAACTAAAAATTTTCCAAATGCATAACACTTTATGGAAACTATTATACTTCCCTTGTTTTAAAGGTGTATTCTAGTGAGTTACATCTTTGAGAGTATTTGAACAAATCTCAAATTAGAACTTACTAACATATCCTTTTTAGTAAAAGTGTACACACACACACACACACACACACACGGCCTCCCATGTCTGAGACGGATGTGTAACTCTGGCCTGCTGATCCATCATAAACTAATGGGGTGATTTAAGGCATATCTTTGTTTTACACCCTAAACTAACTCAAGTATATGCATTACTCTAGTTATGTTTACAAAGATTAATTGATGACATTGAGTTTAGAACAAAGATATATTAGTGGGAATGGTAGATACTAGATAATCTCCTGTCCTTTCAAAGACTCGTGAAGTAAGGACTAGTTTTACTTTTCCCATTGCTAGTATCTCTGATTTGTTGTTCTATGATGTGACCTAAATTAATCTTTTCAGTATGGAAGAGATCCAGCAAGGTTCCAAGGCTCTGGCTGATGCTCTGGAAACTGATTTACCAAAGTTGCAGAAGATGAAGCCAAAAGATGTTGCTCCAGCTGCCCCTAGTGCATGTGATCGTTGTGGTAGAGTCTTGTATGGTTAACCAGATCAAGACGTATAAATTGCATGTACCTTCAAATTTTCTTTGGAAAAGGATATCACATATAGAATGTTATTTCTGTATACACAAACCGCTGGAAACTGTATCAATATTCGATAACTTATTATGAAATAAAAAATGCGATAGCAACATTGGGATCACTTGTTTCCAGTTTTGTCAATTATTGGAATTAGTTCATTACTAGTTGTATAATGAACATATAGGGGTTAGATAGCTCAATTGTATGACTTGGATGAATGATTTTATTTGATAAGTTCTCTATCTAGACTTAGCCATTCCATCTATTTTGTTCATTTCAATATTTGTCTTGTTAACGTTTATTAGTTGAGCTTCTATTAATATGTTTTAGATTCAATTCAATTATCAGCAGCACCAAGGGAGCGAAACTAGATGAAAGAAAAAAAGAGGGGGGAAATTTGTTGAGAATCCGAATTAACATTTATTATTATCAGTGTTTATTGTAGTTCATTAGAATTCTTACTATTATGAATTTTAATTATAGAAATTATAAGTATTAATGAGTTGTTATATATTTAAAGATAATTTTATTTGTAATTTATTTTTAAATTACTGGGTAGAATTAGAATCAATTTTTAATTATGATTTTCTGGTATTAAAAATTGTTAGTATAAATGAAAATGAGAGTTTCAGCTTTCAATTTTATAGTCTCTTAAATTTCTTTTTAGTTTTAACAAAATTTAACACTAAATAATTCATTTTATATTTAGATTCGGTTTATTCTCCCCAGTGATGGAAACATACTACAGGTTAAACTGTTTTAAATGATAATTACTATTTGTAGAGAAAGAGATAGGATGCATGTATGGACAATTGGAGTAAAGGATTCGTTCCTTTTTTTGGTCTAAGAAGGATTCTTTGTGAATGAGAAGTCGTTGTACACTCCATAAGGACCACACCGCTGTCAAATAAATCAGCAAGCAAATTAGCAAATTAATGGAATGGCCTATATATTTCATGATTACGGAAACTATATATAAAGGTGTGCTGAATGCCACATCAAAATAGTTTGTGATTTGTTATTCTTTGATGTAATTAAATATACGATTTTGTGAATATCAACTTTTAAGGGATTGATTTTAATTTACTTAAAAGTATAATTTTTTTTATTAATTTCTTTTTTTGTATTCTTGATGTAATAAATGTTTTTTTTTTCATAAAAACTTTCTAAAATTGTTTAAAATTATAAGTATAAAATTATATGTGCTTATATAAAATTGTTTTCTTACACTCTTAAACCCCAATGGATTTGGGGGAGGAACGTTAGTAGGGACCAAAGGGTGGAACATGCATGCATATCTAGCATTAGATCTTGCTTGTTATATCCATAGGCATGGAGGATATTATTGTGTTTCCCCAATTGTTATGTTCAGCAGTACCTATCAGCTTAAATTTTGGTTCAACTTGCATCATAATTTGTAAATGGGTTCTTTTCCAGCTCTTGCAACGTTACGAGGTTTGCATGTTTTGAATACTAAAAAAATTCGGGAAATGATATTTGTATATCTTGAGAGACACCTAAAGGTGTTTTCTTTGTTTTATGAATGTATTGTTGAGATGCATAGGTACAAACAGAAAAAGAAAACAAAATAAAAATAAAAATAATTATATATGGTGTTATATGATTTTTAGTTCTGCGGTTCAAATAATAAAACTATAAAAAAATTATATGATTTTGTGTTAGGAGTTTAGTTTCAATTATGCCTGCATAATATTATAATTTGAATTTTTCCCTCTTACTCTGAAGATAGCACACTCCTCCCCTCACTTGATTGATTATATACAAAGTGCATACTGATACAAGTGGTGTGACTTTTAAAATCTTGATTATTAAATTCTCAAAATTAAATATAAAGCAATGTCACTTTTTATTATATAAATTATATTGATCAAAGTTCATACTGGTCTTAATATAAAGTTGGATTAGCATGGGGGCACTTACTGGCTCTCCTCTAAGTAGGAAACACTAAACTTCTGGTATCATATTTATAATGAGTTTATACAATAAAAAGTTAGGAGATAGAAATGAACCTGATAATCGTATGATAACTAATGAATCTAGTAATATGTACATTTTATGTTGAACCTATTTCTACAACAACGGTGCTTTTTAGTGCGAAGCATGCTCAAAAGAATTTGAAGTTTGAGCAATCATAATACAAGTTCTGAAACTAATGAGATGAAGGAGAAAATTAATTACCAATCCCTGTTAAGAAATGTAGAGCATGGAATTCCTTTCTTACTTGTTAGCATTTTCCCTCCACAGTTATATTCAACATAAAAAATAGTAATTTTATTAACATAAACTCTTAAAACTGGTTTAAGATTTTATTAGAAAATAAATTTACTATATAAAAATATAAAAATAAATGTTCTTTCCTAATAAAATATAATCGCTTTTAGGATTGATATTAATATTTTTCAAAATAATAATAATATTATGCAACAAATCATGGACTTTTTTTTTTGCCTTGAACAAAACATAGACTTTATATGGGCCTAGTGCAACCTTCCAAATTTGGACTTTGCTCTTCCTTTGACATCAGTCTTATTAGTGATCAGTCCTGTCTTTGAGCAGGCTGTGTTGATTGATTGTTTTTAAGTTCATCATTCAACTATGCAATTTATTAGGTTTTGGGCCCATCTCAAAGGTCATATAGAACAATTAAACAAATATAAAAAAGTAATAATAAATTTTTAAATATTAACTAAAAGTGTGTTATTAATATTGGTCAGTAAAAAATGTAACAAAATATAAACTCAAAAAGGCCCATTTTTTTTTTGGGTAATGAAATTAACTTTTAACTTATTATTACCACGATACCACTGTTGAAAATTAGTAGTGGAGTTAAAAATTAGGGTGAGAGGTAAATGCCAAAAAAGTGGCAGCACCCAATGCTCCTCGAAAATCTAAACTAATAAATTCAATATATTGTATGTTTAAAAATTCATCCGAATTAAAATAAAAAAGAGAGTAAAAAACCAGGATTTTCCCTACTTAGAAAATGAGATTTAGCTTCTTTTAGTGGAGTGATTAACAGCTCTTTTCTCAACTTATGTTATAGACAATGTCAAAATAATTGCAGAAAGTAAAAGAATATCTTGGTAGTTGCTTTTACATTTCTCCAAAAACACACAATGATCTTGCACGCAAAGATCAATATATATCCAAATACTGAATGTAATTGAATGACTTCAAAATGATCCAACACGAAATACCAACACTTGATGACGACAACGTATCATTCGTTTTGGCGAAGGCAAGCTTTGGTACACAGCTTGCTGATAGTACTCTATCTTGAAGTCCTACATCATTTAAGTACACCAAAGAACAAAAGAAAATTCATGTTAATAACATGTATTAGTAATTGTTATATTGAGCACAAAGCAATTCCAAGATGCTTATGCTTGTAACTATTTTATATATTTTAATAAAGGAGCCAATGAAAGATGAACTTAGAGGAGAGGTGGTAAGAATGTTGAACACAGTGTTTGAACATAAACAGCAAAGCTAGTGATTGAGCTATTACTCTACCATAGAAGCAGCTGTAACAAGAGTAACATGAGCATCACACTTTTTGTACAAAACAAGCTTGTACAAAATAAAAAGGGCAAGTATATATACACACAAATTATTTGAGTTTTCCACCTTTTACACTCCTTTACCACTATATACTACAACAATCTTATGATATCATATCGTCCTCTTGTTCCAATTCATTTTTCCCTTGAAATTATTACTAACTTTTCAACCATTAATCCTTTATTCTTTTTTTTTTCAACGAACTAGAACAACCCACCCTTGTTCTAACTATCCCTTCATTTTTATGGAATGAATCTTGGTCACTTTTACCAAACCATGACTACTTTAGAACAGCTTAAGGTTTTAAGGTATGTTTGATTACCCGTTTGAAATATGTTGCACACACTAAGAGAGAAGAAACGTGAAATAATTTTTTTTTTTCATTGACCTAATATTAGTCAGACATTATTACAACGGAAAATCAAATTCACATTTTGATAGAAATTTGGCCTAATTTTTAACTAATGTGAGCACTGCCTCATATTTATAATTAAACATTATTACATAAGTTTGCAAAACTTCACATTAGTACGATAGTCAAGTTAGATAGATTTTATATTAAAAAAATAAAGTCTAATCAATGTGAGATATTTTAACACTTTCAGGTCAATCTAATAGGATATCATCCTTCATTCTCAGGGAGGATAGTGTGGCATAACTGTGAAGATACATTTAAGTCAGCACATATTAGATTAAAATTGGAGCACCACAACTAATCTAAAAATGGGGCTTTGATCCAACCTACGGATGTTACGGTGTTGCTGATCTAAAAATTAAATTTGAGACAGACTTAAACTAAAAGTAACCAAATCATAGAAAAGACAAAAACTTTGATTAATCTGACTTAAATTGGGTAATATCATTATAAACGAAAAAAAAAATCTTCAAAGCACTGATGCACTTTTAAGAACCTTTTAAACAGAGATTTATGAAGTTATATTTTTTCACAAACTTCCAAAAATCTCCCTTGTACGATTTTCTAAGTTGTCCTAAATTACGTGTAAAAAACATATTAAACTAAGAATGTTAGTTTATTTATATCACTTCATTCTATAAATTGGTAACATGCAAACAAGGTTTGTTTTTTATTTTCTTTCCTAATTCTCAAACACGTTTCAAGGAGAACAAAATAATTTTGTGGACGAATATAAAGATTCACTGGCATTTTTACTCACTAAAGGAACAATTTTGCACATTGGATTATTTGTTTCCATTCACATTGGAATGTAAAACCCATTCTCACCATAAAGTCATAAACACGCCCAAAACCCCACCATTTTACAATTCTTTTAACAATTAGCCTTTTCTTTTGGGGTCTAGTATAAGTGTTAGATGAAAAAGACCCAATTCTAGTCTTCCCCTACCTTCTCTTTTCTAATGCTCTTGTTGGGTACATTTTTTTAATACATATTAACGGATGGGACAAATAGAATGACACAAAAATTAAGTGAATCACAACATAACTTTTTGTTTGGTCAAGTAATTTTGTCATTGTTATGATTAACGTGGGAATGAAAGTAGATTTCATGTTTGTGCAAGTTGATATAAAAGGAAGATGGCTAAGAATGGTAGATGATTGTGGAGTAAGGAAATGGTTTTGTTGAGAATAAGGAGGGAAAGGATATTAGGCAGTTGGGTAGAATAAGGTTTATGTTTCAACCGTGAGAACTTGTGTGAGAATAACTTTTGAACATTAGATATGTAAATAACACTAGTTTCATGTTTTCTTTCCTCTTTCTATTTCTTTTTATTTCATCCAAACCAGTGACATTTGCTTTTTATTTTTATATTTTTTGTTTGTTTTAATTTTCATTTCCGATTTACATAATTCTATAAATAATTGAAATTTTCAAATTATTTTTCTTTCTTTTTATTGTTTTCATTGGGAAAAAAGTAAAATAAATAAAAATCTCATTTCCATTATAAATTTTAAAAATAAAATAATGTAAACTATTAATAAAACAGTATTACTAGTGTTATCTAAAAAATGATTAAAGAATAAAAAAAGATAAATTTATTTTAAGTAATACATTATAAACTTTAAAAAAAATTTTTTTGGTTTGAAATATTCCTCAACAATTATTCTAAGGATAACGGTTAACAAAATCAACAATAAATACACATAAACTAAAGATGACAACACAAAATACATTGAACACTAAATTTTTGGAAACTAAATTCTGATACGTATATTTTTTTTTACAAATTTGTAATACAAATAAAGTCGCATTTTCTATAGCATTTACACCATAGATATAGAATTTGACAGTCAGCTACTATAGGCTTTGCATTTTACAGTGATTTTTTAATCCTTTTTTTGTGGTCTCGCGTATCTATTTTTGTTATCATTAAATTCTATGAGAAGAAGAAGATTCATACTCAGTGCTCCTGCTATTATTAAAATATCTCAATCATACCTTATGAGTTCTCTTTGTTTATTTCTTTTTATAAAAAAAATGTTTCACTGATGAGTAATAGTAAAACATAATGATATGTCGGTGACATCAAGAATATTAGAATGGTCAATTTCATTCAATTAAAAAGGATATATATATATATCCGAAAAAGTGTATACATGCTGCATATATCTGAACTCAATGCAGAGCTGATTCAAATCTTCAAAGGTATTTAAGTTGATAGAAAAAAATCACCTTACTGTTTTCTCATCATTTTTATCATGTTTTCAAAAAAAAAAAAAACTTTTAAATTTTTTTTCTTAATTTATGTGGTACAAAATAGTCATTAAACTTATATAATTAAATTAAAAACCAAATATTTTAATTAATTAAATTATTTAATTATTCTTAACATATTTTAACAAAAAATTTATTAATTTTAATTTCAAATTTTTTATAAACTTATGGTAACATGAATAATTAATAATACTATATAAGTTATTCTTGTACTTAACCAAAATAAGTTACCTTTTTTTCATTAAATTTATGTTTCAACCGGTTTTTAATTTGTATATTTATAAATAATATTGTTTAAATTTGTTTTATTTTCATTATATATCATAAATATTTTGCGACCGGATTTTGAGCATAATCTTTAATGACCTATGCCTTAAACTGCCCTGACTCAATGGACTAAATTATTTCATCACGACTTGTAATTTAAAGTTTGGGTAACTTTATATCTTTAATGTTTTTAATAATTTTTAAATGTGAAAAATATTTTAAAAATAAACATATTTACTGTCTTAAAAATATCAAATTATATTTTCTTCCAATGGAGAAAATTATTGAGATATGTTATGATATTAGATGTTCTAAAATTATTTAAAAAATAGTCAATGTTTTCATCTTGTGTGTAATATCCATGTTCAAAATGTCTCTGCCTGTAAGTTATTATGGGGATTTTTTTTTCTCAACAGCACATAAATTAAAACTGCTTACATCATAAAAAATATATGTAGTCATCTGAGAGGCAGTTCCTTTCATTCTATGCGTGAGTGTCAGGAGTGAAGTTTGTGGCTACGTGCATGGACCTTTCAATTCAACACATGAAAAAGTGCACCCTAATCCAATGCGAGGTAAAATGCTATGCTAGGGTCATATGTTTTGATTGAGGAACCTGACAATGAGCCAATCAGGGTCATGTCATGTCATGTCATGTGGGTGCACAGCATGAGCTATATTGCACAGCTTTGGAGCGGGAAATGAATTGGGATTGTAAAGTCATTTTAGACTTTGGTTTTAGTCCAAAGCATAATATTAACATTGCCCCCATTCAATGACTTACACATGGTTTATGCCACACAAAAGCTTACACCTGACATGCTATAGTGAGGGGAACCAATGAGAGCACAAACAAGGAGACAACCGGCCGATACCCTATTCACAACAACCCATGCAGGAATCAACAAAAAAAGACAACACAACCCATAGCAAAACCATAAATTTATGCCCAATGCCCAACTTGTTTATCATTACCTAGAAGCCAAGCGGCTCATGGTATTGCACACAACACGTCAACCCAAAAATATCATCGTTCAAATGAAGATTCACATTATATCAAATATTATAATGTCACATCATATCCACGTAGGTTTACCAAAACCAAAGCATCTCATTAGGGCAGCAAATCAAACAACAAAAATGTCGACCGCAATGCATCAAACATTAACATTTAACGCCAAAGCCAAACAACAATCCCAGAAAAAAAAGAGTGATATATTTTGTAGGCAATACATGAAGGAAATACTACACCAGCAAATTATTACATATTATATTATCTAGCCCTTTTTTTAATAAGATTATAAATGAAAGGCAAAGGAGTGAAAATGCAAAAAAAAGATGAAAGATTGTTGCATGTCTTACCAGGAAGAAAATGGAGGAATCCAAAAGTCAGTTCTTGGCTTTCCCCTTCTGGTCTGAATGCCGGCATGCATCAGCATAGCAAAGTTGCAAGCGGCTGCCATCAAAAACAGAAGAAAACTGATGGTGGTGATGGTTCTCCATGGTAGGAGCAGCTGATGCAGGTGCAGCTCCAATGAAGAAAGGTACAGTGGATCCGTCTATAGGTGAAAACCTCTGAAAGTGAGGCAACAGAGACGGAGAATTGGACTGAAGGGTCCCCCTATTGTAACCAGCAAGGCCCGAAGATATGGTGAAGTTGAGGTTGTAATCATTCCCGCTGGGTTGAGAAGAAGCAGAAGATGTTACCACAGCTGACATAAGATGATCTGGGATGAATGAGAAGTGTTGTAGCTGAGGATCTGATGAGTGGTTTTCACCACTCACGTTGAAGGGTGAAACTGACATGGCTTCAGGAAGGGAATGTCCTAATTGGACTTGTGATACTGAGAACCCAGAAGAGGAAGAGGGTTGATTGTGATGATGGTGATGGGTTCTTGAAGAGGAAGGTCCAAGAAGCCCTGAGGTGAAGTAGTCCATTGGTGCTGATGAACACCATTGCTGTCTGGATGCTTTGTTGAATAAATTAGGCTCGTCACTAACATTCTGATGAACTGACCCTCTTGGACTTGTGGGAACTGCATTGTTGATTCCAACAGTGAGAAGCTCAGTGAAAGAAGCTGTTTGAGAAATGGGGTTCACATTGTGGTGTTGTTGGTGGTGGTGGTGGGGAGCTATGTTGTGAGATTCATTCTCTTTTTCTTTCTCCTTTTCCTTCTCCTTGGCTGTTCTTCTTTCCCTTGCTCTCTCTCTGGCCTTGACACGGTTCACACGAATGTCAGACCTAGAGAGGGACAAGCCAGAACCCTTGCTTGTCTCAGAGGTGCTGCTACAAGCAGATTTGGACAAAGAAAGGTTCTGGCTTTGGTTGTTATGCTGCTGATAGTTTGTGTTCTCACCATCTAGTTCTGCATCAGCAGAATCAAAGCCTTGTTCACTTGCCCTTTTCTCATCACTTGGTTGCTTGGGGGTATCAGGGAATGTGTTGTTCAAAGAAGGTAGTTCAGCAATGGCATCTGCAGCTGAGTTTATTAACCACTCCACGGCTTTGCTGGGTTGGTCATAACCCAAGCGATCTTGAAGATCATAGAACTGAATGGCTGTGGTAACAGAAAGCCTAACCCTCCTGTCTCTTAAACCCTTTGAAGTCATGACCTTGCTGTGCCTATCTTTTCCCCCAGATGCTCTTGACACCCTTATGATTCTAGAAGAGTGGTGCCAACTGTGGAACCTGTTTGTGCTCACACCATCGCTTCCTTTTCTTCTGATCTCTCCATCTTCTTCCTCATTCCTTCCATTTCCTACTCTTGGGAACTTACACGCCTGTGCTTGTATCTCATCCTCCTCCATACCACAATCATGCCTTTGCAACAACAGAAGCCGATCAAGCTCAAAACAAGCCCACTTTGCCTTTCTCTTTAATTATGTTACACTAGTACAAAGGTAGAGGTAGAGAGAGAGAGAGAAAGAAAGAAAGAGAGAGAGTGCAGGTGTGGGGTTGGCTATGTCCTTTGCATTGATGATGATAATTCAGAGACTGCTTTGGCTGTGTAGTGATAAAAAGGCCTCTTTTACGCTCTGATATATCGCGGTCCAAGTCAGGAGGGCCTTGTTTAGCTTTTTGCAGTTGCAGAATGCCTTTCAAAAGCAAAAGACTGAACTAGGTCTCAGACCCTCACCCCCTCTCTTCCTGCAAAAAAACCACACCCAGCTACCATAAGCACCCGAATAATTTCTGTATTAATTATCATTCAAACCCAAGATAAAATAAAATAAAGTTTTAAATTTTAAAAATAAAAATTAAAAAGCTTCAAATACTTCGTACACTTCCCGGACTCACTAACTACAAAGTAGATAAGATCTGACAGTGTTTAGCCTTTAGCTGATATATTAGCACATTACAAACCAATACATATTTTATGAAAAACCCAAAGTTTTAAAAGAAGGTTCAAGTGCTTGAATTTGGAGGACCTTCGATCTGAGCCTTTCTGCTTTGTTTTAAGCCAAAGGTGCAAAATTTGCAGATGGGTGTTTGATCTGAGTCAAACCCTTTTTAGCTTCTGCTAGTAGTATTTATGTCTTGTCCCTTCCCTTGAAATTAAAATAACATACATTATGTAAATCTCATTAGAAATCACAACACCACTGCAAGGCTCATTATGGCTGGCTTAGTGTGCAAAATATCACAAAGTCTTTAATGAAACCACTATTTGTGAAACGCTCAAATAGTATTTAAATAAAGTTATTGAAGAAGAAGGTTCAAGCCTCGTTACTTTGAACAATGTTGGGTGACAGGTGTTGAGGTCTAAATCAAAGACAAGAAAGATATTAAAAAAAAAAAAAACCCAGATGTTAAGATTACAGATCTATATCCCTGGAGTTCCGTTGTTATTGAAACAAAACCAAAAATAAAAGTACAAATCAGAACCTGAAAACTTTAGCTCATTAAAAGACAACACTTCTTCAGATCAGCACCCTTCATTTTGCCAAAAAAAATAAAACAAAAACTTTAATTCTCATGGATTTAAAAAAAGGAAACCATAATAACAAAAATCAAAGAGATCGAAGAAGTGGCTTCATATGAGAGGGAGAGAATTAAGGATAAAAAATGATATGAGACCTTCTTTGCTGTCTGATTTCAGGAGTTTGTTGAATTTCCCAAATGGTCTTTCCTTGTTCTCAAAAGCACCTTCAAGTGTAAACAAAAAAATTTCAGTTTTTTTTTTTAACTCTCAACCTTAAGTCCTAGACAAGGAAGGTGATAAAAAAGAAAAACCTCAAATCCACTACCAAAGCATGCTAAGCTGAATTTGGAGTTTGGTTGACACTTACAGATTCTTTTCTCTCTTGGGTTCTAGGGTTGGTTGGTCGGGTGTTTGGTGGGTGAGAAACGGAAAGAAAGTGAAAGAAAAAACCGGGTATATGGGAATTGCGTGATTGCTAGAGAGAGAGAGAGAGAGAGAGAGTATGTGAGTGTGGAAAAGGTAGAGAGAGAGAGAGAAGAAGAAGAAGAAAAGCACGAGGGTGTGGTGAACTCAAAGTGGTTGAAGCTGAGAAAGAATGAAAGAAGAAGAAGAAGAAGGGTTGTCGTTGATGTTTCCCATTCGAACAATGACCGGGCTTATCGGAAAGGGCCAGACACGGCGCTGTTCCACTGTTTATGTATTCTTCACTCCTTCACATTTGTCCGTCCTTTCTCCCATATTTACTTCCTAACCTTATCTCATTAATTATTAACCCTAGAAAATATTCATTCTCAATTTTTATTATAAATTAATTAAGTTATAATAAATACACAATTTTTTCATTCACTTTAAAGATAAGTTTACTTTACTCTTCACAAGTGATTTACTTGATTATTTATTTGAATGTTTATAAATTTGAGTGGAATTATTTTAAAAAAATATTTTTATAATAAAATTTAATATAAATTTTTAGTTCACAGCATAAATTATAATTTGATATTTTTACTAAAATATAAATTTAAAAATAAATTGAATTTTAATTTAAACCAACTAAACATATTAAAATAAAATGCATAAAAATATTATAATAATAATTAATACGAATAGGTTTTTAAACGCACATTGCATATTTTATTAAATTAGAATTTATTCAGATATTATATTCAATCATCAAATATTGTCCAAAATAAATCCTCGAATATTGGATTATTTTTACTTATATGTAACCACGGTAAGTTATAATTTAGGCTTTAATATGTTTTCATCTTAATTACAAGAAAACAGCTTTGTCCTCTTAAATCTTTTGTTAGCAACAAATAATCAATATTCAATTATATGCTGTGTTGTTGATGCTGATTTGTGCTCAATTAAAGGTGTTTTACGAGGGATCTTTATTTATTAAGAGTAATGTATCATCATACATAGTCTCCTACACTCAAAACATTTCTAAACTTTAGAATGGGAGCGTATCCTTGTACCTAGACCTTTCTTTTTTTTTATTTGTATATCTAATGTGTGATCACTAAATTATAATCAATTCATCGACAAAACAAACTTTAATTTTCATCACCGTGACAATCAAACTCGAACTGTAAGAGAAAATTACAAATGAAATTAAACTTATGTAAAAAATAAATTAAATATAAAATTTCTCTTATCCTTCGTATTATTTATAACCTTTGAAAAAATCTTTTGCTTGCATTCAATTGAGATTCTTTTTAAGAGGGTAGTGACCCCTTTTCCGTGTTTCACAAATTTCAATATCTTCTGTTTTTCTTCGTGATTTGATATATTATACAAATTATCTACTAAAAATTTGGACAGTGATCGTCAAAAGCATCCATTTGGTTCGTTAAAATCAGATAGATAGAGGTTAACAATTATAGCAGTATTTAGTGAGAACAAAAAATGAAAACAGATCAATTACTATTGGTTTTATAATAAATTATACTTTATCTCTTTTTATATTTCTTAATTTATTTTTGCAAGCGCATATTAGTGAGCTTCTTAACGAAAAAATTACTTCATTGAAAAGATGTTATGGTAGAAGGTTACATGAAAGGGAACCTTATACTCCTCAAAATCTAGACCAATTTCTTAGCATTCTATATAAGCGGGTGTTTCACAAAGATTAACGTTCCCCGTTGACCATTGTGTGACTCACTTTTCTTTTGAAAATCACGTAACATATAAATCACAAGCATGGTTATTTCAATATGCTACCCGTCCTTTCCATTTAAGTGTTAGGTTATTATAATTTTTTTATGCTACATGTTATGGTCCCCTAACTCTCAATTTGGTCCCCAATTCAAACAAGCCTTGTATTTGCGGCTTTCCGCGTATATGAGATTTTTTGAAAGATGACACCCTACCATAAGCCATACATTAACTATTATTAGTTCATCCCATTTCTTACAACATGAGGACAAATGGGGTCAATTCACAACCATTCATAGCCATCTTAGCTTAAGCTAGATAATTATCCTATCACTGCCCTTTAGCAAATAGGTTCTAGAGTATACAATGTGGCACTAGGAAGAAGAAAAACTGTATAATTGAATTATGAACACCTCAGGAGGGTTTGAGCATAAAGCTTTAATTTTCTTAGCCCCACCTCATCACTCTAGTTTTGGAGTTACTACTTGCACTTGAAGAAATTGCATGACACTGAAGTTTCATTCTATTGTATAGGGTGCTTTAATTAGATAATATGTTTATTTAGATAAAAATATCTTCAGTTCTTCCAGCAAGGTCCATGCATGGGTTGTAAATGGAATGCATTAACTAGCTCATTAATTAAGAACTTGGTTCCTTACTAGAAATTTAAGACCATGGGACCCGGCTTAATCATCTAGGCCCAAAAATTGAAACAAACTAAAATAACAGTCAAGTGATTGAACGTAATATGTTATTACTCTGTTCCTTTTAGCTGTTCTTTAAATAATTATGCAAAAATAATAATCATGTTTGAATTAATTGCTTTATTGAGACATTTAAAATAACATTGTTATTATGTTATATAATCTTTTCTCTTATTTATTAATAGAAAAATACTAACTAGTGCCTTTCATTAAGGAATTGTTTTTTTGAAAAAATATTATTACTGGACTTTGGTCATTATTTTTTAAGACATTTTAACTTAATTTTCAAAAAATTATTTATTTATTTTTTAATCAGTATCCTAAAAATATTAACTAATAAGACCCTTAATAATATTAAGTATAAAGTTTCAAAAATAGTCGATACGTTAATTTTCTAAAACGATAATGGATCATTCTTTTAACCAAACATATTAAAAGGAAAGGATAGAATATATACCCAATATATCCATGCAATATTTATCAAAAAATTAACTGTATGACTTAAAATTAAAATCCTAGCTTGAATTTCTATAGATGTACAAAAATGGGCTATTAGAATACCCCTAATTGAATAATATAAAAATATTTTCCATGCAAAGTCTTTCTTTTAATTGGGTTTTTTCTAATCCTAACAATACAATGAACAGGCTTCCACTATATCTTTTTTATTTGTGTCTGCATTAATTTGTTAATGAGATGATATAGTTTGTTCATAAGATTGATCAAAGAATAAAAAAAGTTTTTGATTTAAATTTTGCTGGCAACTCTTCATTGATAGATCTTGTGTAAGCATAGTGTAAATTGTACCCAATTGGATCATTTTTTTCCCTCTCTCTACAATTGTTTTCTAATATAAATAAATTTCCTTTCTTGTCAGTGCTATCTTGCGTTAAAGCCATATCACCCAAACACAAAGTTTCTCAAGCATCCATTATTGAATATATTGAAGCTAGGCAGCCATTATCATCAGAGGTGCTATTGGCTTTTGTGTAGTTAGAATGTGTTTGATTTGATGCATGAAGAAAGGATAATATACAATGCAAACAAAACAACGAAATGAAGAGTTGGTTAAGTTACGACATAGATTTTCATTTGATTTGTTGTCTAGTGATAGACGCACAACATAAGCTGTATAAAAAAAAAGGGGTAATAAAGGGTTGCACTAAGTACTAGTCCGATCAAGTTAGCTAGTGGCATCGATAGAGAAAGACCAAATTAATGAATATTATACACTTTTGAGTGGAGTCGTGTCCTGTTTGAGACAGTTTGTCCCCTCATTTATTTATTAATATATATTTATAAATTTTATCATGCACTTTAATTTTTGGTTTCTTAAATCTCATCTATATGTTTCTTAATTTTTGTTTATTTTAACTTTAAATTTTAATTTTCAATTAATTTTGATTATCTTCTTTGTGATCCTAATTTTTTTTAATTTAATCTATACTTTTCAGGCTTTACAAGGTTATGTTTATGAAAAAAGTAATAATAACAAGTTAATTAACAAAAAGAAAAAAAAATGAAAACCAGATGGATAATAAAAGTGTTTCGTAATATTAGTTGTTGAACTAATTAATAAGTGTAACATTGCAAATGAAAAATGCTTATATGTTTTTTCCTATTTTCATTTCATAGAAAAATATATTTAGGCAATTATAATTTTATATTATTTACTTGATTTGGAACTATTATTTTTATTTGAAAATGAAATTTTTGTTATGAATATAAATAGCGTAATAATTAAAATAAACAGTGCGATATTAAAGGTGATTAATAATAATAATAAGTTATTAATTAAAATGTTATTTCAAGTATCATATGAAATAAATACATTTTTATTAGTCATATATATCCCTTTATAATTTTGAATATTTATTTTCTAAATAATTTTTATCTTTGATTTATATTTTACCTAAATTTAAAATATCCATACAATGTATAAGTATTTTCAAATTCAAAATAAAATTTAAATTGTATAAGTGGGAAAATATTTAAAATTTGAAGAGAGTGTACATTAGTTTTTAAAAGAATGATAAACAAAATTTTCTTCTATCCTTTATTATGTAAAATTAATTGTTAACATAAGTAAAACTGTCTTTCCTTCATAATTATTTACTTGTTAAAAAAATTAGTCAAATTTATATACTTAATAAAACCTTTATAAAGGGATTCAGTTAAAAATAATTTAATAATTTTTAATAAATAAGATCTTGTTAAGCTTTTTAAAAATAGTTCAAGGACTTACAAACTAATTAATCTATAAAATTATAAGTTTCACCTTTTATGATAAAGGAAAAAGCTGCAAGATTTTTTTAAAAAATTAATGTGACTAGTATTTTTGTAAAATGTTACAGTTTTGTAAGTTCTCACTGGATATTGTGAATGACCTGAAATACAGAGTTTTTCCAATGATTTAACATGATAAACTCTTGTTTGAATGTATAAAATGAAACTTTTCTTGAACAATCATTCTTTTGGAATCAATGATGGTAATTATGTCCAAGGCAGCTTGAGACACACTATGCCCGTTAGTGATTTTTTTATGGAAAAATGGTTTTTTAAAATTCTTTCAAAGAAGTAATTTTAGTTTTTCTAAGTCAAGCAAAGCAATTTCTTTGACAAGTTATTTATAAGTAGGTCAATTATGTTAAAACTAAATTATTTAAAAAATTGAAGTAAAAAAATAAAATCGATGGCTGCAAAAGAAGAAATAAATTTTGAATTTCAAACATGGTAGACACTCACCCACACCCTTCTCTCTGTAACTCTTTATAGCGCAACCTCATGGTTGTCAAATTAGATATGAATGTAGACACGAGCATTGAATGAATCATTCAAAATTATATCACCAACAAACATTCATC